TGTACCATTTGCCAAAGCCATAATATTGGTAAACCTGTAAAAGCAGCCCAGGGGTTCCAGGGCCTGCCTCAAGCACCGTTCTTGCACAAATGCCTAAGTGTCAACAATATGAATTTATATTGGTTATGGTATGTTTATTCTCCGGTTGGATTGAAGCCTTTCCTTGTCACAAGGCTGACTCACTGTCTGTTGCCAAATGTCTGTTAAATCATATTATGCCTGCCAAGGGAATTCCTGCTACTCTGTCCAGTGATCGGGGTACACATTTTACTGGACAACTTGTTCAACACCTGGACCATATAGTGCGTATCAAACACCTGTTGCACTGTCCCTACCACCCACAGAGTGCAGGTGCAGTTGAAAGACGAAATGGTGTACTTAAGAATAAGCTTGCTAAAATTTGTGACTGTACAGGATTAAGCTGGCCAGTAGCCTTACCATTAGCCCTTATGGACATGAGATCCACTCCATCCCAAAGGCATAAATTAAGTCCCTTTGAAATTGTTATGGGACGCCCTATGCGAGCTATGACTACCATTACTCCCGTTCCAGATTTGAACTTGACTCACAGTGTGCTCCTTCAGTATTTGCAAGGGACTAATGCAAGCTGTAAGTCACTTCCATTCACAGGTTCGAGTCGCCTGGCCCACGGAACCCACCTCCGATGTTTGCCACAACCTCGAGCCAGGTGATTGGGTCTATGTACAGCACCGTCATCGAAAGCACGCCTTGGAGCCCCGGTGGAAGGGTCCTCATCAGGTACTGCTTACTACACAGACGGCTGTTAGACTATCTGGCATTGCAGCATGCATATATGCTTCACAGTGTAAGAAGGCATCATCCCCAGAGAACCAATCATCACCTCAGGACAACGCAGAGTCAATTTTGACTCCAGAAGAAGACGTAGAGGAATAGTCTGCAATACCTTACAATAAGGTAAGGGTTGCCAGAAGCAGATGCTGTTCCTCGGCTGCTGGTATCTTACGGTCTGGGGAGACCACAATGACAATTATTTTATCCAGCAGCAGGTGTGGATAGCTCAGACCCTTAATATTTCTAATTGCTGGGTCTGCAGCCACATCCCAGCCCACTCTCAAACTGGTGTTCCTGTGCTGGCTATCGCACTCAAGCTCCCAGACCTCACTGGAGGGCCTCGTCCGTTTAACAAAATATGGAACAGCAATGACACTTGGGAAGCGGTGGGAATAAATGTATCTAAATGGATAAGTGTGGTGGAGGGAAAAGGTCATTGGTGTTGGGTGTGTAATGGGGGGACAGGGCTGGATCTGGGGAAAAGCCGTTGCCTTCAGCATATTGTGGTCAATGTTGTATGGGATTATTCAAACAAAACTAAAAAGTGGTGGGCCGGATATGGAGATATGAATTTTTTCTCAACCTGGGACCAAACAGAGAAATCAATCTCATGTTCCCCCTACAGTAACCTTAGTGAAAACAATACAGTCTTTCAATGTCATGCAAATAACACCACTCCTTGTAAGGAGAATTATCCTGTACCCTTTGGGGGATACTACTCCTCCTTTGCAAACACCTATATGACAAATGGGTGCAACCGACCCTTCCTGGCCTTAATAGGCCATCACTGGGTGTGTGGGACCAAGGCTTATACCGCACTACCAGCTAATTGGTCAGGAATCTGTTATCCCGCCCGACTCTTCCCACAATTCCGAGTGCTAGGAACCTTCCCTCGAACGCCTCCACAATTTCAGGCGAAAAAGAAGGGATTTAACAGGTGCCCAATGGTATGTAAATAACATAAGCCCCTTAACCTGGGAACAGAGTAACAGCCGTGTTAGTCTGTATTCGCAAAAAGAAAAGGAGTACTTGTGGCACCTTAGAGACTAACCAATTTATTTGAGCATGAGCTTTCGTGAGCTACAGCTCACTTCATCGGATGCATACCGTGGAAACTGCAGCAGATATTATATACACACAGAGATCATGAAACAATACCTCCTCCCACCCCACTGTCCTGGTAATAGCTTATCTAAAGTGATCATCAAGTTGGGCCATTTCCAGCACAAATCCAGGTTTTCTCACCCTCCACCCCCCTACACACAAACTCACTCTCCTGCTGGTAATAGCCCATCCAAAGTGACAACTCTCTTCTCATGCACATTGTGAAGAGAGTTGTCACTTTGGATGGGCTATTACCAGCAGGAGAGTGAGTTTGTGTGTAGGGGGGTGGAGGGTGAGAAAACCTGGATTTGTGCTGGAAATGGCCCAACTTGATGATCACTTTAGATAAGCTATTACCAGCAGGACAGTGGGGTGGGAGGAGGTATTGTTTCATATTCTCTGTGTGTATATAAAGTCTGCTGCAGTTTCTACGGTATGCATCCGATGAAGTGAGCTGTAGCTCACGAAAGCTCATGCTCAAATAAATTGGTTAGTCTCTAAGGTGCCACAAGTACTCCTTTTCTTTTTAACCTGGGAAGAGGCCATTGGCGGTTCCTTCATACCATTTGGGGGAGTAATACACTGTGCAAAAAAGGCTCCTAAGGTTACAAGCAGTAGTTAAAATAATGGCAAATGAAACCGGACAAAGTTTAAGAGCCCTGTCCAAAGAAACAGGGGCAATCCGACAGATGGCCCTCCAAAACCGTCAGGCATTGGACATAGTGCTGATGGCAAAAGGAGGGACTTGTGCTGTCATTGGAAAAGACAGCTGTGTGTATATACCAGACAACACTAATGAGGTAACAGATTGTGCTAGCCACTTAGAACAAATCGCATATCTTCCCCACGAAGAGCCAAGTTCTTTACGGAAGTGGCTAAGTAACCTTTTCAATTTTTCTGGCATAGGAAACTGGTTGTTTCAGGGAACCCTAACTCTCCTGTTTGGAATCCTAATAATTTTTGTATGTTTTCAGTTACTTTCCTGTTGTATCCAAAATTGTGTCAGGCATGCTACACAGATAGCTGCCCCAAACCAGAGTGCTAATTTGATGATTTTAAATATCACTGATGAACAAAGAGATAAAGAATAATTGATATGTGGAACCCAGTCATTGTTGGTCATTGCGTAGCTTGACCAAAAGGAGGGATTGTGAAAGTAGAACGAATTATATTGAAATTCTAATTCATTAAAGAAATGCTACTTGAAGGGTTTGTTGAAATATAGTTGTCAGGAAGAGAAATATTAAGGAGTGTGAGACAATGGGTCCTCAAACTAATTAACTTAGAGCTCCTACTGAGCTAGGAGATTGGTAAACGTTAGTATGCAAATAAGATATGTATGTATATTTGTCAGTTTCTCTTTCTTTTGTCTCTTATGTTAAATTGGCTTTGGCTTAGCTGTATAAATAAGTTATCTTGAACCTCAGAAAGGGGCTCACATCTGGGTGCATTAGCAAAGCGCTTTGCTAATAAATAGAGTGATCTGACAAATTATGTGAGTCCTGAATCTGACTTTGACAAGACTAACAGATTTATTTGGGCATAAGCTTTTGTGGGTAAAAAACCCACTTCTTCACCTACTCCGTGCATCTCAAGAAGTGGGTTTTTTACCCACAAAAGCTTATGTCCAAATAAATCCGTTAGTCTGAAGTGGGTTTTTTACCCACAGAAGCTTATGCACGGATAAATCTGTTAGTCTTTAAGGTGCAACTTTTATGTAGAAATCCATGATTAAACCAAATCTTCCTGACTAGTGATTCAAATCATGATTTAAATCAATTTGATTTAAATCAAATCCACCGTGCCTACCCCCAAATTAATTCTGGAAAAGCAGCAGTTAAAATAGCTTAATAAATAAACCTGTACCTGTTTTCTAGTATATGGGGCTCAGCAGATATGAAGGTAAAATCTCTGTATTGACAAGTGACGCTCCACCTTTTAAGCCACTCATCTGTTCTGGAGGTACAGAGCACTTTTTCTAAGACCAGTAATAAGGATGATACTCAAGCCAAGGTCAAAGTATTAATTAAAAAAAAAGAACATTATGTTGTGGTCTATCTGAATCCTAGGGTTTTCTTCTCCATGTCAAAAATACCATTGTCTCAGCCCTATATTAGGTAAGATGCAGTCAGAACAGTCTGCTCTGCACTTAATATTTGAATTGTGCATTGGTTATGTAAAGCATACTAACTAACTGAGGCATGGTCTACACTAAAAAGTTAGGATGATCTAGCTTCTTCACTCAGGGGTGTAAAAAATCCAGTCTGGAATAATGCAGCTAGCCTACATGACCCCCCACTGTAGCAGGTCTAGAATTCTTCCCTGGACCTAGCTGCTCCCTCTTCAGAGGTGGATTACCTATGCCCACGGGAGAACCGATCCCCTTCAGATAGGTCTACACTGAACCCCTAAAGTGGCACAGCTACCGTTTTGAGTTCAGACACCCTAATTCTCACAGCACCTGGCTGAAATAAGTATTACAGTACTCCCATTTTGCAGAAGACAAAAGCAAAACAGAGATTGTGACTTAGAATATCAGGGTTGGAAAGGAGGTCATCTAGTCATCTTGCTCAAAGGGGAGCCAATCCCCAATTTTTGCCCCAGATCCCTAAATGGCCCCCCCAAGGATTGAGCTCACAACCCTAAGTTTAGCAGGCCAATGCTCAAACCACTGAGCTATCTCTCCCACCTATTTTGATTTTGCAAAAACTGTATCAAAATAGTGCACTTATTCCAAATCTGTGAATGAAAAAAGATTTCGTTATTTCCATACAAGTTTGGGTATAGACGAGCCCTTAGGGCAGGCAGCTCTGTCCTTCCTGTTTGTTGCATTAGCTCTGAAATGAGAATCTCTGTGAGGCGGGGCGAACGTCTCCCTAGCTGCACTGTAAGGCGGAAAGCACATTTCCTGTCCCTGTGAAATACTTATAATGCTGCGAAGTTCATTAAAAGGCAATTCCAACGCCTGTATTTAATCTCCTAACATACCAGCTTAGAACCAACCCCCTGCGTTTTGCCCCAGCACCATCTGGGCTTGACGCACGTACGGGACCACCTCAGGACGCGGCCATCTGGGTGGGCCCGCCGGAGGAGAGGGACTGTGCCAGGGGGTCTGCGGCCTTCCGTGTCCCGACGGCGCGGGAGGGGCTCGGGGACAGGCCCTGGCACCCGGCGATGCTCAGCGTCTCCTCAGCTAGCCCAGGGCCGGGCCGCGGGAGGGCCCTAGGGGGCTCTGGCCTGCAGCTTCCGGAAAGCCGAAGTCAGGGCGGGAGACTGCGAGGGGCGGTCCTCACCTCAGGGCACCCTGGGCCGGGCGCTGTGAGGACTGGGGGCGGCTCCAGCTGACGGGGCGGGGCGGCTTGTCCCTCTCAGCATCCCGGCCTGAAAGGCGCCGCCTTCCCGCCGCCTCTGTCCCTTCTTCCTTTGTCTGGACGCCGGCAAGGGCCGCTGTGGGCGCAGGATGAGCAGCGGCAGCGCAGGCGGCGATGGTCGGGCAGCGGCTCTCTCCGCCCGGGGCTCCCGCATCGCCAGCGGCGCCCGGGGCCTGCTGGACAAAGGCTTCGACTTGTACATCGCGGACCCCTTCGACCGGGACCGCAACCCGCGGGTGAGGGGAGCCGGCCGGGCACAGCCCCGCTTCCGGCGGGGGGAGACTGAGGAGTCCCGCAGGTTTGGGGGCGTCCGTCCCTCCGAGCGGGGAGAGGGCGAAGGGGCCCGCGACACGGGGATGGGCGCTGCGGAAGAGCGTTCCCTCCCTGGAGCCGGTGCCGGCAGACGGCAGGGGTCGTTAGGCGGTGGCTGGGGAAGCAGGCAGGGGGCGAGCCATCCATGGGAGCTGCTGACAGGGCCCCCGTCGCCCCGATATCAGAGCCCCGCGCAGGGTTGTATGCCCCCCCTGTGAGGCTGCAGTTCCCTTATCCCCCTTGCCCACACCGGGAACCGAGGCACCCCGGCTATGTTCACACCGCTGGGGGGGGTTGGGGGGGAGAGGGAGTGACTTGCCCAAGGAGCAGGGCATTGAACACAGGGCACCAGAGTCCCAGGTTGGCAGCCTAAGCGCTGGAGCCTCCTTCCCGGCCACCTGTGGTGGTTGAGCGGGGCCGGGGAGGTCGGTGCTTAATCTGTGCCAGGCTGAGCCCTGGACCCGCTAGGGTTGGTAGTTCATAGTCCCGGCACCTCGGGGCTTGCCACGTCCGTTCTGAAAGGGAAAAAATAATATTTGAGCCCTGGCACCTGTTTCGTTACAAATTAAGCACTGTGTGTAGGGTTCCTCGCGATTCCTAAAGCCGGGCTTTAAAACGGCCCTCTGTGAACTGGGCTGCTGCAGGGTGACTAGGAGTACAGACGCAAGGCGGGAGGGAGGGGGAGAGCGAGACGCATTGTTGTTGCTGTTCGCTGTGGATGGTGCGGCTGAGCCAGTCTGGGCACGGTGGTTCAAACTGGTTTGTGCCAGTAATACTATGATGACGTTATTCGCTGCCCCGAAATCACCCTAACAAGGAGGTGCTGCTGCTGCTGCTCCTGCCTTTCCCTCTGCTCCCTCTCTGTTTGCATCGTGTCAGAAGAACATGAGCGTGTCTGCTGCACCGTTGCATATTGAGACCACTTCCCTGCCCCAGCAACCAATGTTATGTATTGTTTGGTGTTATATTCCGACAGGATTAGGAATAATCAGTGTTCTATATTGTGAGAGCATTCATTTGCTAGCGCACAGATGGATGCCAGCAAACAATTCCAGCTCCTTTGATTCCATTTCCAGAGGCTAGTGGTTTTTCTGATACAAACAAGGTTTCTTGTTGTCCAGAGCAGAGTGAATTGTGTCAGGCTATTGGCACAGTTGTCAGCCGCAAACAATCAAAAACAGAATGTTAACTTAAAAATCATGAGAGCTTAAAAAATAAAATGTAGGGTTCTCTTTATTTGCTTCCTAGTTTTTGAGCCTTTATGAGTAACATTTTCAAGCTTTTCTCCACAACTAGGAGAACTAGAAACTTAGTTTAATTTTAAATGAAACTGAGATTCTCACATAATCACCTGGCTTCAGGAGTTGAGGCTTTAAGAAAAGCACCAAATATCCCAAGGCTTATGATAAAATAGCCTGTCACAGTTATTCTCAACTCTGGCAATCTTTCATACTGGACTCTGGCTAACAGGTTTGGGCCACTGAGTTGGAGATATGGTAGTAAATGTTTCAGGCCCTTCCTATAAAGACAAAGGGAATCCAAACTGGATTATTTTTAGATAACCTCAGTTGTTTAATACCTGTCATTTTCTTTCAGGGCATTTTGAATTTGGGAACAAGCGAGAACAAACTTTGCTATGATTTAATACAGGAAAGAGTAAGTGGATATGAATAATTTGGAATTATGGATTTTGACCTATAGAATGGTATTGCAGCTGTCAGTTGAATTTTAATAATGGTGTGGTGTTTTACAGATGAATAATTTAGAACAGAATAAATAATGCCTTTAATTATCTCTAGCTAATCGATAGCATTATGATAAACAACTTTTTTAAAAAACCATGCTATATACTTAATATTTGTATAGTCAGATACACTTAGCAAAGTAATATAACAATGAAAAGTGTGGCTCTGGCTGAGGGCCAAAACCATTTTCTTTTAAATTTGCCTAAGCAACATCATTCAGATTTTTAAAAAATGTTCAATCCAAAGTGTTCATTTATGTTTAGATAGAAATAATTTAAAGTACTCTTCTCATTTAATCCAAAAAAAAATTGTTTGGAGATTATTTTTTTTTATGAGAGAAATTACTGAGTACTCTATCATGTGGTTTGATTCTCTCCTGGGGGAGCCAAAACTCTTACCTAGAATGGAAAACATTCTTTATGTTGGAATTATGTATTGATTTTAAGCAAAACTATTTTTAAAAAGTAAGTAATTTTCTGTATACCAGTCCAGATTTCAGGCTGCAGTGCTGCATAAAGGCAATTTTTATTATCTGAAAAATGATAATATAAAAATGGCACCTTTTTAAGTGAGAAAGTAACTTTTAAAAAAAAGTTTGTTAGCCCTGCTTAGCTAGCACAGCTATGGAAAAATAAACTAGATTTTATTTTGGGTCACACAGCAGCAAAATTAATTTTCAATTGTAGTGCCAGCTTGTGCTTTCATTTAGACTTGTTCACCCATACTAAAAGTCACTGAAATTGCACGGATGCAATTTGTTCTGCAGAATCTTTATTACTGATGTCAGTGCTTGATTTGTAGATCTCAAGGTGTGTTGGCAGGCCTGACCATTTGGGAGAGGAAATATTTTTTTAATAACATGAAATCTGTGCAAATTTTAGCTATACGTAGTTGACCCAGTAAATATGGAACTGCACATTGTCTTTATTAGTCACTTTTCAGACTAGATTCACATTTTAAAATACAAAAATCTAACCCAGTTGCTTCGGCTATTTCTTAACTGTACCAGGTAAAATTATTGTCTCCTTCCCAACCAACTGAGAAGCTAAGTTATGCACCATAGGCGCCGACTTCCCCTTTAGCTCGGGGGTGCTTGACTCCACCCAGACCCCGCCTCCACTCCATCCCTTCCCCCAAGTCCCCGCCCACCACAACTCTTCCCGCTCTGCTCCCATCCCGCTGTTCCCCACCTCCTCCCCCAAGCGCACCCCCTCCCTGCTCCTCCTCCTCTCTCCCGAAGGTTCCTACGCACTGCGAAACAGCTGTTCGCAGCACGTGGGAGATACTGGGAGAAAGGGGGAGATGTTGGTCAGCAGGGCAGGCAGGAGGCGCTGAGAGGGAGGGGGAGTAGCTGGTCTGCAGGGCCACCAGCAGGCGGGAGGCGCTGGGAGGAAGTGGGGAGCTTGGCTGCTGGTGTGTGCTGCTGAACAGCACCTGCTAATTTTTCTGTGTGGGAGCTCCAGCCTTGGAGCACCCACGGAGTCGACACCTATGGGGGCGCCCCTCCCCCAGCCCCAACTCAGCCCCAAACCTGTCGCAGCTTGGGGAGGGGCGGCCTGAAGCAAGCCCCGGCCTGGATTGGCTGGGGGTGGGGCGCCTATCACATGGCCCCAGCCCAGGTGCTGCAGAGGGAAGAGAGAGCTGGGTGGAGTCCTCTCTCCCCGCCTTAGCCCCGGAGCACCCTCCTGCACTCCAAACCTCTCATTCCTGGCCCCACCCCAGAGCCCGCACCCCCAGCCAGAACCCTCACCCTATTTGCCCCAAACCCTCTCCCCCAGCCCTGAGCCCCTCATCCCCAACCCACCCCAGAGCCCGCACCCCCAGCTGGATCCCTCATACCCCTCACCCCAACCCTCTGCCCCAGCCCTGAGCACCCTCCCAAACTCCAAACCCCTCAGCCCCACCCCCACCACATGAATTTTGTTATGTGCACCAATATGAAAGTGATGTGTCACACATCACCTCCATATTGGTGCACATAACAAAATTCATTCTGCACATGTGTGGGAAAAATTATAGGGAACACTGCTGAGAAGGTAATTAAACACAATTGACCTTTCATTTTTAAAAGAATGCTGCACCTCCTGTAAATATTAAAAGAAAATGGTGGAGATTTTGGTGTGTATTCAAACAGTAATTATAGAATCTCTGAGATTAGTACTAGTATATTTTCACGCAGCAATGTGTTGGATTTAACCAGGACAGAACAATCCATAAATAACTTTTTGCTGATCTGAAGAAACTGCTGATGAGCATCTTACAAATAAAGAGATGGAAGTTTAAACTGGGAAGATGGATGTAACTCTGGAATATTAAGATTTTCCATCTCCCCATTGTTACAGAATGGTATTATGTAACTACATAGATTGTCATGTGGTTCAGTAGAACACAAACTCATAGGTAAGAATACGTTTTTCTACAGTATGTTTACGTCTTTCTGTTTTTTTATGTTAACAGCTCACAAGACCTGACATGAACTATCTGGAACCTCAACTTTTGCAATATTCTGATACACAAGGCATTGAAAGGTATGAAGTCATTAAAATATTGTCTCTTTTTCAAAATTTGGTGTGGTTTCATTTAATCTACAAACCCAGGGGTTTATACCCAGTTTAATATTAGCTGCTTGCTCTGAAGATGTTTTTCTGTTTTCTGTTGGTTTTCAAGAGTTACTTTCCTGTTTTTTTTCCAGCTCCTCTGACCTTTACCCTACCGCCTCTCCCCCAAAAAAGCATGACACCTTGCATATAGGCAGGGGAGAATGCTGTGGAGGTCCTTTCACAGCTAGTAGCAGTAATTCTCACAGGCAAACTCTGGCAGTGAACAGTTAAGCTATAACTCTGTGTTCTTCAGAGACAGAATCAGGGTGAATGCTGATCCTGTAAATATCAATGGGAATTTTGCCATTGACTTAGGTGGGGTCCGCCTGAGAATATAATCTTGATTTACTCAGATTTCACTGATTTTTGTTGCACCAGTTCTTGGGTTCCTTCCAAAAACAGGTCCCAACAGTGGAGTGGGTGCAAAGATGCATCTGCTTTTTCTAGTTATTTTTTCATACAAAAAGAAAAGGAGTACTTGTGGCACCTTAGAGACTAACCAATTTATTTGAGCATGAGCTTTCGTGAGCCACAGCTCACTTCATCAGATGTGTACCGTGGAAACTGCAGCAGACTTTATATACACACAGAGAATATGAAACAATACCTCTCCCACCCCAGCAGGACAGTGGGGTGGGAGGAGGTACTGTTTCATATTCTCTGTGTGTATATAAAGTCTGCTGCAGTTTCCACGGTACACATCTGATGAAGTGAGCTGTGGCTCACGAAAGCTCATGCTCAAATAAATTGGTTAGTCTCTAAGGTGCCACAAGTACTCCTTTTCTTTTTGCGAATACAGACTAACACGGCTGTTCCTCTGAAACCTGTCAATTTTTTCATACAGTTATCATAGTTCTGGGGTGGCCAAACATACTGACCCTCCAAGCCACATACAATAATCTTCAAAAGTTCAAGAGCCCAGTGTGCCTGCTTGGGGTTCAGGGCTTCAGCCCTGCAGCAAGGTGATGGGGCTAGGGCTTTCTGCCCTGTAGGGAGGGAGGTCTTGGTGTTTCAGCCCTATGGCAGGCACCCCCCTCCTGCTGAAGCCCTGAACCACTGCAGGGCTGAAGCCCCGAGACCAGCAGTTCTCAACCTGTGACCACATGCAGCCCAATTAGCACAGAGCTGCAGCCCAGATGTGTGCTATAAGAATTCAAAATTTGCTGCTCTGGTCTGGCAGGGGGCGGGGCTGGCTGAGGGTGCGAGAGCATAAGGCAGCCTGCAGGAGCGCTTCTGCCAGCAGGGGGCTGGCGAGTACTGCAGGGGGCGGGAGAGTGGGTGTCTGGGCAGGTTGTGTGTGTGTGGGGGGGGAATTCTCGGCAGTGAGGGAGTGAGGTGCTGGAAACTAGGGGTTTGTGGGAATGCTGCAGCACCCCCAGGTTTTAGGTGGGACTCTGCTCTTTGCCCGGTTCCTCTGGTCCTGGTTGCTAGCTTGTGCCCAGTGCTCCACTCCTAGCTGCCTGGCCCCATGCCCATGGCTCAACTCCTGGCCCCGCTCTGTGGAGGGGTCTCTGGGTAGGCGAGGGGGTGCTGGGCATAGGGAACTGTGGGGCAGTTTTTTGCGGCAGGAAGAAGGGTGCTTAAGATGAACTTTAACTGTAAAAGAGCCACATGAGGCTCATGAGCCACAGTTTGGCTTCCCCTGTCATAATTGATCCACATTTATTAAAATTCTGCACCAGACAGTTTTAGTGGGAAAGAGCCTATCCAAAGCAACCTAGGCTGTGGAAGCTACAGTTGCTGGTTGTCCTTCACACCAGCCTGTTTGTTTTGGCCTACTGACCTCAAGTCCTGTAACAAGCCAGACATCTTCAGAAACTGAACTTAGTGGAACCAAAATTTGTCCATCTTTCATGAGAGTAAAAGTGTATCATGCATTTGTCCTATTCTAGATAAAGCCTATTTTATGTATTTTGATCTTTTTGTAAGAAGAATTATGTAATGCAAAGTGTTTTAATTTTGCATTTCAGCTTCAGAGAAGAAATTGCCAAATTTCTCACTGAGTATGCCAAAGCTCCAAAAGCACTGAATCCAGAGCATGTAAGAAATGAGTGCTTCATCTCTGCATCTTGCTTTTTTTAGCTATAGATATTTTCTGTACAGATTTGCTTATCTTTTAGAAGGTATTATAAAAGCATTTCCAGGAGTCTTATCAAATTTAAAATGTTCTGGATTGCAAACAACACGTGAAACTAGTTACAAACCCACTTAGTATGAAGAACTTATGCTGTTGTTCTTTGACCCTTCACTGATCTTAAATCCATGAAGTTCTAGGGCCCACTTGCTCCAGATTTATGTTGTAGGGAGGAGCTATACCCATGAGGAGGAAAACTGCAGGTTGGGTTCTGAAAGGGTTAGGGAGTTATGGCTGTATTCTTCCCACCCCCTTTACTGCCATGGAAAAACTGTGTGTGTGGAGACTACGAATTGGGTAGGAGGGAAGCAATTATGTCTCCCCAAATCATTTGCATAGGTTCCAAATTTAGAGTAATAGCTTGTGTACTTATGTATAACAAAATGAGCACTAAAATTCTTCCAGCGGTTATTGTGTAAAACTCTCATTGACTTCAGCTGGGAGCGGCATATGCACAGTAACAAGATATGGCTGCTAAAAGCTTCATTTACTTCTGGGCTCTGATATTGTAAGCAACAATATATCAAGACTTTTCTATCCACCTCTGGATAGTAGGTGTGTAGCACTCTTGAGGCCTCAGTTAATCTGCCTCCAGCTGCTGGGAGCTAGAAGGAGCTTTCTATATCTTCACCTCTTTCTTTCTCACACACACCACCATTGAGCCTCTGGACTGTTGGAAAGGAGGCATTATTGCAGGACTGCACATTTTGGGAAAAACTTTCCAACAGATAGTGGTTATAAATCTTTCCACTAAACCCAACTTTAGGTCTCAGTGTTGCCGCTCGTGTGTGATGTGCATGCAGGTTCAATTTAGAAGGCTGTTGACTTTTTTTAAACCAATAGTGCAAACCATCTTTTTTTTTTTTTTAGTTTATTTTCAAAATATTACAAATTGTGAAGCTGGGGTTTACAATGAAATGCATTAAAAAACCTTAACTGTAGAAGCATGACCAGCTTGGATATTATATAAAACACTCTAGTTTGCAAGATCACAATCTTGCTTTACAATAATGGTTGCTTTTTAATAAAGTTCTTATCAAATCCAATTCTTGCATATTCTTTAGTTTTCTAAGTATTACATTCTAACCAGCCACAAAGGTGTTGGTAATTCTGTTGATATAATGTTGTTTACTTGTTTCAGATAGTTGTTATGAGTGGCTGTTGTGCTGTCTTTGCTACCCTTTCAACTGTGTTATGTGATCCTGGAGGTAAGCTTAAAAATAAATGTTCTTAATCTGAAAGCATTATATATACAAAAAAAATGAAATTCACCTGTAGTTTAATGAATGTATGTCATCCACAGTGGCAGTAACCTAGCTATTTATTGTATTTATATTAAAAGGGATAAAAGACACCTATCCAAGGCTCTAGGTGCCCTGACGTATGAATTACAAAAATCCCACCAGCATTAAAATAATAATTCCAATAGAAATCCAACTAGCCACCTACAGAGATTCGTTTTCACCGCTTCATTATTACAGAAAGCATATCCTTAGTCCTCTCCAAAATCCCTGTCAAAGATCTCTTTCAGCGTGCCTGGAAGGTCACCAAATCTGGGCAGTTTTGGATAATGGGAGGGAGTGAATTCCAGAGTCTCAGTGCCCTCACAGTGAACACCATGCCCCCCTCCTCCTCTCTATTATAGTGAGAGCACCCCCTCAGACACCTATAAGATGTAAACTTTGGGGACAAGCACTGTTGCTGAATGTTCTGAAAACGTATGGAAATGTAAGTTTTCAGTGTTAAAAGCAATGGTAGTATACAGATTAATCAAAATGGCAAGCGTTACTTCTAGACTTTGTTTACATGAACCACAGAAAATATTGACTGCAAATGATAAATATAGATATAAATTAAATAAGGATATGAATAGGCTACCCTGGAAATACTGCAGTACGTAGGAATAAGTAGGATGCAAGGAAAAGAAGATTTACTTATTTCATTGCAGCACCTAAATGAGGATGGGGAGAAGGAGGAGGGAATGCAAATCTTGGAGTCAAGCCAGTGGCCATGTGTATGTTTCAAACTACTGGTTGTAAAGTTCTGAATGTAGAACATCATGACAGAAATAAAAGCTTAAATAATAAGGGAGTTGCATGGAAGGAGCTACCTTAAAAGATGGAAAAGAAAGAACATCCATTTGAAAAGGAAGTGACTGTATTGTATCTGACAATATACAACTATTGTGCTTGGATACCACAGTGAATGGTGCAGTATAAAAACCTATATACTGTATAAAAGATCAAATGGGCATTATAACATGGGGGATGCTGGCAGCTGAGTATAATACAGAAAAAGTAATTAAGATTTACAGCATTTACCTGAAGAAAAGATGGCAACAGTTGACCATTAACAAAATGATAATTTAAGAACACACTAGTCATATGCCAGTTTTGATATTAAAGAAACACCCAGTGGGTCAGGTCACCTTCAACTCATGCTTCATAAGTGATTGTCAAAATAGAAATTGAACTAAAAATGCAACGAAAAAAACAGAAAGTGACTCGGCAAATGGAACGAATTGCTTTATGCTGGGTATCAGTAGCCATTCACTTTAATGTGCAAAGTAGATGGTGAGAGTAGATTGGATATATATCTCTTGGAAACAACAGAGTCAGTCTGTTAATGTATAGTGAAGTAATTGATAATGAGAATGTTTAATGTTACCTCTTATTTGCATTTTTGGTTTAGATGGGTACCTTATTCCTACTCCATATTATGGTGGAATAAATTCAAAAACCTGGCTGTATGGTGGAATACAACCTGTCCATGTGCCTTTGTTTAGTGAGGTAAAACTTCAGTTTATTAAAGACTGTATTATATGTGAGCACAAAAATGTATGTTAAAGAATTTGATTGACAGTTTCACACGGAGCATTAAAGCAACAAAAGACCACAGATTAAAGCAGGCATGGAAACTGAATTAGCCTCTCATCTTTTGATGTTTGGAGTGTTGTTGTAGCCATGTTGGTCCAGGATATTCAAAAGACAAGATGCGTGAGGTCTTATCTTTTATATAACCAGCTTGTGTTGGTAAAAGAGACAAACTTTTGAGCTTACATATAGCTCTTCTTCAGTTCTGGGCTCTGTGTAAACTCAAAAGTTTGTCTCTTTCACCAGCAGAAACTGGTTCAATAAAACATATGACCTCACCCACCTAGTCTCTCATCTTTAGAGGAAGACTGTCTTGTTCAGGTTGCAGCATATTGGTTGGATGGCGTGATCAACTTTATACTTCAACTGTCTATACAGTACCTGCTCTGTTTACATGCAGAATAAGTTTTGCAGAACTGGCTGTTCACCTTTCACAAGTGTTAAATTCATTGTGTAAATGTTTATTTTCTCTAGCCCTGGAATATGTATTTCTCTCTCGAGTTGTACATTTTGGTTCACTGTGGGAAGGCGAGAGCAGTCTGGGATAAAGATAACATTTAAAAACAAAATTATTGATGTGTGGACAGGATTATTCTTGGGTTATGAATTTGGAGATGGACCTTGGTTTTGTTCCAGTAGCTTGTTTTTCCTCCTTCCTACTTGCACCATTGTTTTTGAAAACTTGCTTTGTATATGCTATTCAGCAGTCACACTTAGGGTATGTCTATGCTGCAATTAGACAATCACAGTTGGCCCGCAGCTCACATGGCAGGACTGTTCAATTGCGGTGTGGAGGTTCGTGGTCAGGTTGCAGTCTGAGCTCTGGGACCCTTCTACCTCACAGGGTTCTAGAATCCAGGCTGCAGCCCAAGTCTGAATGTCTATACTGCAGTTAGACAGCCCCTTAGTCTGAGCCCCGCAAGCCTGAATCAGCTGGCATGGGCAAAGCAGGGGCTTTTAATTGGAGTGTAGACATATCCTTAGAAGGTAAGGGGAGCAATAATAACTATAGTCAGATATTGCTTTCTTCCAGAAATCACTTCTGCAAATACATATCAGATACATCCCTCTCCTCTTTAAAGCTCCCTTCCATTTAGACTGGATTATTTTAGAAACTTTAACTACTATTGTATTTGCATTATTTGGAAATGATTCCTTAACTGTTTTTTGTCGGTTTTGTCTTGCACAGGTGACTGATGAAGAAAGTCACCCTTTTCAATTAACAGTTGAAAAATTAGAGGCTGCCCTACAGAGAGCTAAAGAACAGGTAGGAATGGTATTAACTGATCTCCAGCTGTCTGTGTTTTCCCTAAGTACAATGTAAATAACTCAGTTTCGCTCAACATTGGAATGTTATTTTATCTGGCTTAAAACCCAACTGCTTAAAAGTATTACAGGCATGCGCACAACTCTGGCAACAAAAAAGACTTACATTTCCCATATAAACCAGACAATGTGATAATGTATTGAGTCTGCATCATACTACTTTGTACAGAATGAATCTTAAAATGTATGTTTTTGTAGACTTAGTTTTTCATTCACTGGGCTTACAGAAGTTTGGAGTGTAGTAAAGGCAACACATTCAGGTCTTTAAGAAGAGTAAAAGCATTACTTGAGTGGTCTGTTCAATTAAAAAAAAAAAAAAGTCTTGTCAGATTCTGAAGGGAGTCCTGTCAAGTTCCACCTAGCCAAGAGGATTGGGGACCATGAAACATGGCCTTGGTAATGGGGGATGCAAAGCCTGGAAAAACAAGAGAACACTCCTTGTAGAAAGTTATTTTTCAAGGATTTTCAAGTATTTCAAAAATACTACCTTAGTTTTCTGTTGAAGTTATATTAAATTGCCTTATTCTAAGCATTCTTGCTTGAATGACTTCAACATGGTTGCACAGTTTGTCTTGTACTCTGGGTTTCTGTCATCCTATTCTCTTTCATGTGTTTATTTTGTGATAGTCTATTACATTTTGCTGTTGCTTGTCACATAGTTTGGGCCAAAATACAACATACCTTTTAAAATTATCTGGTAGGGAATATACTTTAAATTCTAAATATCTGTAATTATTTAAATCCACACATTCATAGAAAAAACATGAAGGCATTATTTATATTGAACCTGTTTGCGGTGTTTTGCTCAATCATTCAGAAGAGGGAACACATAATAACTAGAAAACTTGTTACCAGAGCTGTGGCGGTAGCATTGATAATACTGGTTTCATAAGAAGAAAGTAAACTAAGTAGAGTTACTGTTCTGTGTTTTCTAATTAACACAGGGTGAAAAGTCACGTTTGATAAAAGGTAAAAGACATAGTTGCAGTAGGGAAGAAAATGTTTAAGTTTCGAAGAGAGTGTTGCAAACAACAGTAAAGCCTACAAATAAAATTGCAAAACGTTTGTATCTCTTTATAGTAAATGTGTTACAAACATAGTTATAGAGTTAAACAACCTACTGAAAGTTACTAGCTTGACTTCTATATACATGAAACATTTATTTCATCATTTTCAGCACCTATCTCAAGCTGTGGGCATGTTACAGTTTAAAATAGATTATTTTTTTTTTTTTTTTAAAAATTGTAGTAAATTTAAACACAGTCTCTGTTAATATTTTTGACTATCTGCTTCCTATAGTCATTTGCATCAGTGACCGGTGAAGTCTCTGTCCTCACAAGACTTATTTGCCACAGTTAACTTTCTCTGTATTAAGTGGCCACTGGTAAAAGCATTTTTGGCCATACAGAGACGTACACTTCCACTTTATTTGTATTGAAGCTGTCCAATTTAGGTTGTAGGAAGAGCAGTTCCAACTATAGCTGGGGCTGGGATTCAGCACCTAGGTGCAGTAGTACCAGATCCTAACAAAGACACGTTAGCTAACATCCCTGTGTTGGCTGTTATCCACAGGTTTTGCTATATTAATACAGTCACCTATCAGTGTTTCTGTTGGTATCATAATGCAAGCAGATTAAGCAAGACTAAGGGACCACAAGGTGGATTTAAGAGGCTCTGTCACTTAAACTGAGAACATGGTCCCTTAACAGTAACGTTCCAACATGTATATGTATCTGTGTATTAGACGTACCTTGGGTTTTGTCTCAAATAAAATTTCAATATTTTAAGAAACTCTTAAGTAATCCGTATTGTTGTTCTAGTACATGAAATTGTCTCTCTAACAAAAATTGCAGTACTGGAAATATTCAGTTTAACGATCTGATTGACTAAATATCAAGGGCTTTGTAGTAGCTTGAATGCAATTTTATGCAACATCTGCTAATTAATCTTGTGTTACAATTTTGTAAAGTCTTGAATTTTACATTAACTACCCTTCCAATTATAACACTTCAGTGTACTATCCATAATTCCCTCCTCCCCATACACCGAAATAGCTGTAAAAATCAGGACTTGAATAGGACACTGCTTTTTGTGTGGAAGGGTACTTAAAGTGCACTGGAATCATATATTTTGCAGGGAGAAAGTTTAGTTGTTAATATTTTATGACAAGTATCTTTCCCTTTAGGTAGTAAAGATTTTACGATTTGGCCCAAACTTAGCCGAAAAGTCCCATAAAATCAATGGAAAATTGTTAATGTTGTATCTTAAAGGCAATTTTGCTCTTGCATGTTCAATTTTTATTTGGAAGCTTTATATTTAATGAACTTTAACTTTTAGAGACCTGTATAATTCAATCCTTATAAAATTGAAGCTGTTTTCAAGAATAATATTACAAATAACTGCTTTGGGACAATTGTTACTGGAAGGCTCCAAAATAGATTTATTTCTCATTCAGTTAATGCTCATAACTCCTATTAATGTTAATGTAAATTACATATATCAAGGGGAGAATAGATTTCAATGTTCTCTCACAACCAAAAATGCATTTTCCTCTTTGTTTTTTGTCTCACGTGTGATAGAAGTTCCTTGGATTTTTGCCCTTAAAAATAACTGCCCTCCTTTGAAGTCTAGAGCGGGGTGAGAAAAATCCTCAGCAGAACCAGTTCACTAAAAACTAGATGGGGTAAACGCAAAATAGAAGTGTGGCCTAATTCCAGATTTATCCTGTACATCAATTAGTGGATGACAATTCCTCCTATTGACGTACCGTTTGAATATAACGGTTTATATTTCTTGCTATAATCATTGTAGTAATTGGCTATGTGTGCAATATAAAACTTTTTGTTAGATAGAGAATATGTTAAATGTGTGTGCTAATTAGTATATATTGCATTAGTATTCAATGGATGAGTTTTTCCTGAGTGTCCCACTACATACTGTATAAAAATATAATATAAAAAAAAGCATTAAATTGTGTGTTCCTACTTGCGTATCTTGTGTGGGATTCTTTTCTCTACACAGTATTTACAGCCTTTTATAATTGGAGGGGAGAAAACTCTCTAAATTCTTTAGAGTTCTATTTCAAATGTACTTTCCTCCATGATTGAGCAAGACAGTTGGTTATAAGTAATTATTTACTTCAGTGTTTGTTTTAACTTTTCTAAATTCCTTTTAGGACATCAAGAAACTTAAATTTCATACTTCTACTGCCTTAGATGCTCTTAATTTTTTAAGGCAATAAGTGAAAAAATTTTACTCAAAAACTGGTTGTGAGATATGAAGGTCCAAATTCTGCTCTGTTATGTCAGTCTGTATCCTTAGTAACACCGCTGAACTCTATGGAACGATTCTAGAAGTGTAAATGAGAGCAGAATTTGGTCCATACTGCATTATAACCCTGCCTGTTGGTATTCATATTTTTATGGAACTAGGGCTAGTTCGATTTACATTTGCCAGTAAATTATTTGATATATTTCTTTGATGCTGTTAACTGAAAAGGTTGGGTAAACTAGAGAACAAGTTGCGTAGCCAGAAGTTCTTGTGTTTTAGTGGCTTATTATTAAAGAAGGATCATATGTGCTCATGTGCAACCAAGTAATTATTAATAACTTTTTATTGAAGGGGTAGCAGCTTTATAGCCTCGCTAGTCATTTGTTTGACGTCATGTTGGCGTCTCCGACTATCAGTTTTTCTTTTTTCAGGGCATCCGAGTCAGAGCATTAATCCTGATCAACCCTCACAATCCATTAGGGGACATTTACCCAGCACAGTTACTGAAAGAATGTCTAGAGTTTGCGCACAGGTTTGAGTCCTAGCGCTATTTGTTTGGGATTTAATTTCCATGATGCAATATGCTAGTTATAAAAGTCACCTTTGGTAATCTTATTTTGTTCCATTGGGCATTGACCTGTGGGAGGGGTGGTTCCTTGTAGAGTTTATTATCCCATAACTATCCTTTCTATGCAGCCTTTCTGGGGAAATTTATAAGTGAAATTACTTAAAGTGGGACCCAAGATGCTATTTCTGAATGAATAGCCCTATGCTGAGAGTTAGCTCTTTGTGCAACTAAACAAAAAGCTTTCTTGTATGCGTAGCATTGTTTCTGTGTTTAATGCATGTGTCAAAAAAATGAAAATTGGTAATTATCAAAGTCTTTAGGAGCAAGAGTGTATAATACAGATAGAACTTTCATTTGAAAAATTACCAAAATAATAACGTTATAAAATTGGCATTGTGAAAAAGGCATCTAATTGGCTAGGGAAGGTTCCAGGTATCAAGGTATCCTTCATATTGAGCTAGTTTAAGATTTATAAGTCAATTTACTCTTCCTCAGAGAAGGAAGACCCCAAAAAAGAAAGTTTCTTCTATTTTGCTTTTATTCTTCCTCTGGCTCAGAGTTCATATTCTAGGATCTAACAATTTCCTGAAGCCTGGTTGGGGGAGCATTTTCCACGTTTAGCCTTTGCAATTTTGTACACATTCAAATTCAGTGAAATATCATTGGAAGTTTTGCCAAATAAGGACTGAAAAATTTGTCCTTATGCTTTTAGGTTTTCAGAGCAGCAGCAAATTTCTGATGATCTAAAATATAACAGGTTGGTATGCATTGATCAGCGCATACCAAAAATATCCTGTTTGTGAAATTATTTTTACTTTTGAAGCAAATTAACATAAAACTGTATAACTTCTGATGATCTAGTTTTCTTTCCGTGGAAATAATTGTGACAGTTAGAGTTATCAGAACTCTTATAAATTGTCAAAGCTGAATACTGCAAATTAGGGCTGTCAGAGAATTAAAAAAATGAATCGCTATTAATCGCATGACTAAAAAAATAAATCACACGATTAATTGCACTGGTAAACAATAATATAATACCATTATTTAAATATTTTGGGATGTTTTCTACATTTTCAAATATATTGATTTCAATTACAACACAGAATACAAAGTGTACAGTGCTCACTTTATACTTTTTTTTATTATAAATATTTGCACTGTAAAAAACAAAAGAAATAGAATTTTTCAGTTCACCTAATACAAGTACTGTAGTGCAATCTCTTTATCATGAAAGTTGAACTTACAAATTTAGAATTATATACCAAAAAAAACTGCATTCAAAAATGAAACAATGTAAAACTTTAGAGCCTACAAGTCCACTCAGTCCTATTTCTTGTTCAGGCAATCAATCAGACAAACAAGTACGTTTACATTTGCAGGAGATAGTGCTGCCCGCTTCTTGTACACAATGTCACCTGAAAGTGAGAATAGGTATTCTCATGGCACTATTGTAGCCGGCGTCATGAGATAATTACATGCCAGATGAGCTAAAGATTCATGCGTCCCTTCATGCTTCAGCCACCATTCCAGAGGACGTGCGTCCATGCTGATGTCGGGTTCTGCTCGATAACAATCCAAAGCAGTGTGGACCAGCGCATGTTCATTTTCATAATCTGAGTCAGGTGCCACCATCAGAAGGTTAATTTTCTTTTTTGGTGGTTCGGGTTCTGTAGTTTCCGCATCGGAGAGTTACTCTTTTTAAGACTTCTGAAAGCATGCTCCACACCTCCTCCCATTCAGATTTTGGATGGCACTTCAGATTCTTAAACCTTGGGTCAAGTGCTATAGCTATCTTTAGAAATCTCACATTGGTACCTTCTTTGCGTTTTGTGAAATCTGCAGTAAAAGTGTTTTTAAATGAACAACATATGCTGAGTCATCATCCGAGACTACTATAACATGAAATTATGGCAGAATGTGGGTAAAACAGAGCCAGAGACATACAATTCTCCCCCAAGGAGTTCAGTCAGAAATTTAATTAACGTATTATTTTTTTAATGAGCATCCTCAGCATGAAAGCATGTCCTGTGGAATGGTGGTCGAAGCATGAAGGGGCACATGAATGTTTAGCATATCTGGCACATAAATACCTTACAATGCCAGCTACAAAAGTCCCATGCAAACGCCTGTTCTCACTTTCTGGTGACATTGTAAATAAGAAGTGGGCAGCATTATCTCCCGTAAATGTAAACAAACTTGTTTGTCTTAGCAATTGGCTCAATGAAAAGTAGAACTGAGTGGACTTGTAGGCTCTAAATTTTGCATTGTTTTGTTTTTGAGTGCAGTTATGTAACAACAAAAATCTACATTTCTAGATTACACTTTTAAGATAAAGAGATTGCACGACAGTACTTGTATGCAAATATTTGTAATCAATTAATATTCTTTTAATATAATGTGAGCAATGTACACTTTGTATTCTGTGTTGTAATTGAAGTCAATATATTTGAAAATGTAGAAAAACATCCAACAATATTTAATACATTTCAATTGGTATTCTATTGTTTAACAATGCAATTAAAACTACGATTAATCACGATTAATTTTTTGAGTCAATCACGGGAGTTAACTGCGATTAAGCGACAGTCCTACTGCAAATGTATTTTTTTGCATCAGGACCCACAGACTTCAGAATTGCAGCAGTCTTCTAAAGTCAGTAGTAAAACAGCATTTTGGAGGGGAAAAAAAGACAGCCTTAAATTTTCAAACAGAATAATTTTGTATTCTGAAATTGAATTTTCTTTTTTAAATTATAAAAATAAAGGGTTCTGTTACACTGGAATACCTGCACTGCTTGGGTGTTTAAAGGCATCCTGCCGTTGATTCTATATTTCTGAATATACCCAAAGCATGCTGGTATCCAGTGTAATCACACAACTTGCTGTGTATTTGTGGCTTTAACTTTGGGACTATAAAAGGGAATATATATTAAATAAAACTCGCCATGCACTTATCTAACAGAATTGCACTCAGATTCATGTCTTGTTGCAATAAGTTCTGCATGGTAAACTACAATATGTTGCTGCATTTTGTGTTTGTTTTTAAATAATTGGTTGTGGGGAACTATATGTCTTGCAGAGACATTCTTAGCACTCAGTAGAATTTTATTTTAGACATACTTTTGCACCTAGTTCTGCTAGGAAGTACAGATTTATATAAAAATGGATGTTGGTAAAATATAAGTGCTTAAACTGAACCTTGTAATCTTAAATAAGAATTGATATTTTGAATAAAACTTCTCTGGGGTGAGTATAATTATAAATAGGAAATAATTGTGGTAATTTATACATAGAAATTTGTTAAACTTTGACTTTTAAATACTTCTCTAACATATTTATTTATTTTTATACATAGATATCAATTACATGTAATAATAGATGAAATATATATGCTGTCTGTGTACGATGATACCACCTTCACCAGTGTTCTTAGCTTAGATTGGTAAGTGTTGTAGCTTTCTACTATTATAATGCCAAATAGAATGTGTGCCATCTGTTCAGATTTCTGGGTGGTTAGTCTTTATATCTCCACCTTTGTAACTGAAACTGGTTAATGCATAGTGCCTTATTTTGGGTGCGTACAAGATTGTTTGCTTGCTTGTAACTAGTGCAGAAGCATCAACATGCTTACCAGGAGTGGGGAGAGGAGTTTGTATTCCTAGTTGCTTCATTTTGTCCAGTGGCTCCTGTTGCCACACAGACTGCACTTAGGGTTTTCATTATAATGTTTATAGCCCTTAATGGACTCTTTCTATATAAGATGTCAGAAGTCCTTCAAGTTATCTACTCTATCCTCTCTCCATCTGGAATCAGATATTTTGGAGCTTTTGGGTTTCCTGGGGCATGTGAGGAAGAACATATCCCCACTAAAACACATAGGCATTTTGGCAACTTATAAATTTTGTTTTCACAAAATACAGAATGTTCATTTTTAACTCTGTATTTAAGCACTTATTGAAATGCACCTCATACAGTCGTAATTATCCAGGTAAATCCAAATGTGCCTACCACAGCAAGCATCTGGCTGTTCTCCTATAATCCGTAAGAAAAATTGGATAAGGGCCAAATTTTCAAATACAGAATGAAGTCTCTGGTAAAAAACTTTTTTTTAAAAAGAGGCTTTTTTCTCTGCAAATTCATCCCAACATTATACAGCTAAAGGATACAATCATCAGCTCACCCTGTAGCAAGCCAGGGCTACTAACCAAGGTATGCACTGAGCTGTGGATCTAGTGTTCTGCTCTGCATTCTTCTTCCTTTATGAGGCTGTGGCTCAATGGAGCCACATTGTGTGAAGACATGCCCTAAATAGGTCCCTTTGTCCACTTCCATGATTTCATATGCAGAGTCATCATGGAGTTCAGAACACTATGAAGTGCAGGAGGTATAGAGAGCCCTCTTGTGGAGTTTGAGCCATTTACAGAAACACTCCATTTTGCTATTTGGACTCTAAATGAATAGAATATCTTTAACAGATTCCTGTGTCTCAGCCTCTGTCATTTATTTTTTATTAATACCTCAGTATTTATATAGCTGCAGGATATCAATATTCTGCAATAATGATCTGTTACTAATTAGAGTCTTGAAAGCTATGAAGAAAGTGATGTTACTCTATAAGTGGTTATATTCTTTCTACAAAGAGCTGTTGTAATATTGAAAATCACTTTTATTGTATTTAGTCTGAAGGAAGTTGTGGTAATCTTCAAAAACATGAAGTTGTAATTACATCTGTAAAAGTTTTGTTTTATTTTGCTCCTTCTCCAGTTTACCAGATCCAGAACGGACACATTTTATGTGGGGCTTTAGCAAGGTAGGTCTAGAATGTTGAGTATATCTGAGTTTAGTTTTGAATATTTCTCTCCAAAATACCTTAGAATATCACTATCGTTTTTTAAAGGAATTGCTTATTGCAAATTTGAAGCATTAGGACACAGTTTTGCTAGTTTACAGTGTCAAAATAATGGAAAGTCTTTTCAGTGCTTGTGAAGAGCAGCACAAGCACTTTGTAAACATTTTGCTTGTAGGAGAAATTGTAGAAAATTAGTATTTTAGAGCACTTCGGGGAAATTATATTTAACTTCTGTGCCAAAGGTGTGCAGTTTACTGGTGGTGTCTTTCATCTGTGGTTTCCCGCCTCCTCTGTCTTCTAAAACAGAAACAAAGCTGTATTTGGGTCACTAACAACAGCATAGTTTAGTAGACAAAGTATGGGACTGTGGGACAGGAACACTTGAGTTATATTCCTTATTCTGTCACTGATCTGCTGGTTAACCTTGGTGAAGCTACTTTATCTCTCTGTCTTAGGTCTTTTCCATAGGTGCTGGAACTTGGGGTGTTGCTGTACCCCCTGGCTTGAAGTGGTTTCCATCATATAAAGATTTACAGTTTGATTCAATGGCTCTCAGCACCCCCACTATACAAATTGTTCCAGCACCTCTGGTCTTCTCCATCTCTAAAATGACGATAATAATTATGTACATGAATATTATCAATTGGTCAACTAGTTAGTGTGTATACAGTGTTTTGAAAATATATAGTAGTAGTAGTGTTTAAAAATCCTATATAATTTTGTACATTTCAGGGCTATATGGGCTTATTACATTGGGATAGAGTTAGCTAACATGGACAGATAGACATAGTTTGCCGTCATGGCTGGAAGTGCCCAATGTACTCTGCATCTTTTAACAACAGGCCCTTCATTTCTTTAAAATGTAGGTGTACTAATAAAGCTACTGAGCCAGTTCCATAAGAATGCTAGAAAATGTGTGTGATGATTAAATACCACATCACCAAATACCAATTAAATAACAAAATTTCAAGACAAAAAGGCTTTACTCTTCCATCCTACTTCATTTTTGAAGGAAGGATGCACTGTTCAAATATTAATTTGTGGTACTTTTGATAGGTGTAAAATATATAGCATTAAAAAAACTTACATTTATAGAACTCTGACTTCTTGATTAAACTCGCAAAAATCAGGAAATGTCAACATCACAGTTGTACACGCAACTTTAACTCTGCCCCCTTAGGACTGCATTCATGGTAGTCTTTAGTTACCTGAACACACATTATTTGTCAGATACAATATAACATCATTCAGTATTTTTTCTAGAACCTCAAACCAGTGTTCTTCTAAAATAATTGGGATCTGAGCCTCTGGATTTGACTATAACTGCAGATATTTAAGGCATGCAAAATTTATTTAATATTGCAAAAATCCCATAAACTATGTGTTTCGTCACTATGGCATTATCTGATGCAAATGTAAGTGACTGTAAAACAAAAATTTCAAGAATAAAGGGCACAATCAATTCATATAATGAACTCCGTAGCCCAGCAGTTACTCAGTTTTTTCATTGATTGAGCAGCAGAGATGCACAGTTCTGTGGGAAACATTACCACAGGGTGGTCTGATAGTAGAATGAGCTCTCAGCTTCTGAGTAGCTTCACGCTCTCAGTGGCAGACGAGAATTTATTTGGAGTTTTGTTGCAGGAGGTGTGTGTGTCTGGTTGGTTATTGGATTTTTTGTTTTTGTTTTTTGTCTTGTTCAGTAAGACAGCCATTTCCCTAAATGTATTAGCCCACAACAGTGTCATTTGCAGTCTTGCTTATGTATATTTGCACTGGGCTTGTGTGTATTTTAATGTGACTAGTGCCATGAAATTGTCAACTGAAATTCCTTGAGCTTGATCCTGCATTCTCTACACAGGTAAAACTTCTATTGATTTCAGTAGGAGCTTTGCCTAAGAAGGAACTCTAGGGCTAGAATCATAAACTGAAAAAATAATTACATAGCACTTTTTCTATCAGTACTTAACAAAGGTCGGTAAATATAATTATCCCCATCTTTCAGGTGGAGAATCTGAGATACAGGGAGGTTAAGTGAGTTGCTCAAGGTCATATCACATTAATGACGGAGCTAGGAATAGAACCTAGGTCTTTGTGGCCTGTCCACTGAACCATGTGGCTTCCCAATTAGGTATGCAACAAGTTTACATAAATATAGTATATCCTGTTAGCTACACAATTTTGGAAGTATTCATTAAGGCAGGAACTGCTGTTAGCAAGATCACCCACACCTATTTCCAGGACTGGCATTTCAAACTAATTTCTCCTCGGTACTTATCTAGTTGTCCTATATAATGTAATTCTAGGACACTTATCTCTATAGTATGCATCTCCTGTGTGCATCAGAATGAGAAATGTTCCCCCTTCCTTTTAACACACGTATTATCCCCTGAGATAAAAGGAGCAAAACTGTCAGTGTGGTCCAACTACAGTCTTTAAGTATAGATGCAGAGTGAAATTGCCGCCTTCAAATGTACACTTGGATTTGGGAATAATCTGTAGGTAACTTTTCTTTTTGCCTTCTAAGGATTTTGGTATGTGTGGTATCAGAGTTGGAGTGTTGTACACCAGAAGTCATGAAATTCGGAAAGCCGTGAATCAACTGGCTGTTTTTCATGGGTGTCCTGGGCCTGTTCAGTATGTTCTGAGCCAGTTTCTTAGTGATAGAGGTTAGCAAAACAAAAATATTCCCATTTTCATTGTTGTTTGTTCCATGATAGTTGGAAATAAAATATAACAGAAATATGACAGTTCTTCCTTGTTTTGATAGATTGGCTGGATAATGTGTATTTTCCTACCAACAAAAAAAGACTTAAAGAAGCACAGAGTATTCTTGTGGATGGTCTTGCAGAGATTGGAATACCTGTCTTCAAAAGTTCAGGAGGATTATACATATGGGCAGACTTCAGAAAAGTATGTTGAAGGCTTGGGAGGGGATGGGAAAGAGGGTTTAAGAAATTAATGCTGCCAACAGTTTATTTTTATGTGAAAGCCTCAAGGCTTGTGGTAGAATTTTTAAACAGATATTCCTGTTCTCTTATATTGTCTAATTTTCATTGTACATTAGAAATGATATTGCAATTTGGCAAATGCGAAAAAGCCTAGTGGATGGCAATTCAATTGAACACATACTGTAAAACTATGAAATAAAGGAAGTTTCCTAAAATGTTCTATTAAATATAGAACATCTAACTTTAGAATGCTTCATGTTCTGGTGCTGGACTAACAGTTGAGCCATGGGGTCTGGTCCCAGCTGTGCAAGTGACCTGCTGTATCCTCGGACAAGTCACATAACCTCTCTGTGCTTCAGTTTACCCATCAGTAGAATGAGGAGAAGGAGGAAGATATTTGCTCACCTCTGTAAGATTTACAGACAAACCTCTCTATATAAATGTATGCAGCATAAATCACTCTAAAATATGGCTAGAGCAGATTGGTGGAGAACCTTGCTCTACCACGAACTGTGCTGTACCTGTTCTGCAGATGGATATGCATCTCTAGCACTGTTAGTAAACAGTATATCCACATAAAACATTTAACTGGAAGAATCACAATAACATTTATAAGTAACAAGCCACAATATTTTGAGATGTGACTATTTATCATGTTTATTAGGGTAGTGCCTGGGGCCAGCCAAGAATGGGCCCACTTGTGCTAGGCACTGTAAAAAACATAAAGAAACTGTCCCTCACCTGAAAAGCAGACAATCTACTTAGACAAGATGAAGAGTAGGGAAAGGGATATCACATACAAGCAAAGTAAACAATATTATGGCGGCAAACATAAGAACAGCCATTCTGGGTCAGACCAAAGGTCCATCTAGCCCAGTATCCTGTCTTCTGACAGTGGCCTACGTCAGGTGCCCCAGAGGGAATGAACAGAACAGGTAATCAACAAGTGATCCATCCCCTCTCGCCCAGTTCTAGCTTCTGGCAAACAGAGGCTAGGGACACAATCCCTGCCCATCCTGGCTACTAGCCATTGATGGATCTATCATCCATGAACTTATCTAGTTCTTTTTTTAAATATTGTGTTCTGTGATTTTTGTGGTTTAAATCCAATCAATCAGGTTATGTTAGGATGGGATTAGCTAGATGGAAAGACAAAGATCCAGAGGACTTTAGGAGGGGTTGATTCTGAGAAGGGAGTAGAAGGGGTTGGAGCAAACAGCACAGGGGAGAGAGAAAGTTCATAGTGAAAACTGCAGAAAGCAGTCTGATATCTTTAGTATCCTTGTTCAGTCTCTGCTTGAACTGCTTTCTGCAGCTGCTGTGCATGCTTCAGTCTCCAGGGGATAAGTTTTCACTACAGAGTTAGCTCAGGCTCTGATTTTGGTATTGCCCCTCACCCCCACGTCTATCCACATTAAAATCCTCTCACACAGATTTGGTGTTTTCAACTCAGGCTAGCTGGCCCAGCTGGCATTTGGCTGGAGCCCACATGCTGCTTTCACTCAGGGCATGGCTACTCTTGCAGATGTAGAGCGCTTTGAGTTAAACCAGCCGTCGTAGAGTGCAGCAGGGAAAGCGCTGCAATCTGTCCACACTGACAGCTACAAGTGCACTGCAATGGCCACATTAGCAGCTTTTGCAACAGCCACAGAGAGCAGTGCATTGTGGTAGCTATCCCAGCATGCACATGGCTGCAGCGTGCTTTTCAAATGGGGGGAGGTGGGGTGGAATGTGACAGGAAGTGTGTTGTGTGTATGTGAGGGGGGAGAGAGTGGGTTTTTTGGGGGGCTGAAAGCATATCAGCATGCTGTCTTGTAAGTTCAGACAGCAGCAAACTTTCCCTTCCCCCCGCCTCTCTCTCTCACACACAGTATTCCACAGTAATGGTTGCTTTGTCTCAGAGCAGATAAGCATGCCGGCTGTCAGAAACGGAGCTTTCCAAGGGCATATCCGCATTCCTGCAGCCATTTCAAAACAATGAGAAGAGTGGCCAATTGACTTAAGGGGATTATGGGACTTTTCCGGAGGCTGATCAGAGCACAGTAAAGCAACACCTCGTTCACACTGACATTTCAGCCAAGGTGCAAGAAGCATTAATCTTCTCGCCGAGGTGGAGTATCAGGAGCGCTCTAGCCGTGGAGTCATAGAATCATAGAATATCAGGGTTGGAAGGGACCTCAGGAGGTCATCTAGTCCAACCCCCTGCTCAAAGCAGGACCAATCCCCAATTAAATCATCCCAGCCAGGGCTTTGTCAAGCCTTTGTCAGAGCACTCTACGCGCCTTGCCAGTGTGGACGGGTAGTGAGCTAAGGTGCCCGGGGCTGCTTTAATGCACTGTAACTCGCAAGTGTAGCCAAGCCCTCAGGCTTGTAACTGCCCACTTTACAATGAGGATGCAGGCTAAATCACTCAAGTGCTGATAGTCTTCCGATGCCTTTCCATAAATCACTGTGTTTCCAGAATGACAGACACATTCCTCCACAATTCACTGGCAAAGAATCACAGAACAACTTAGTTTACTGCAGCACAAAGAACCATAGGATATGACAGAAGTCTTAGTGTAGTGAGTGGGTGAGTGCAGCACCAGTGAGGACTCAGAACCTCGGGTATGGCTTTGCAGTGTTGCTGCTCACACCTGGGCTAGACTAATTTGGGTTCTCAGACCCTGGTACCAAGCACCTAAGTTACTTCTGCACTGAAGACGTACCCTGGCTGGCTCATTCCTGCTGTTTCTTTTTCAAAGGCCACGTGGCTGTGGGGAGATGCTGCATGGGTCCTTTTGCCCCAGATAGCAGTCTGGCCTACACAGTATGAACAAGTAGAATGGATCTCACACGTTTATGCAGTTTAGTGGGCAAAGGAATTACTAAGAAGCAAGCTTTTGACTTGATTTTCAGAATTGCTGAGCACCCAAAACTCTAAGATAAATTGGTGGGAGCTGCAGGTGTTCAGTAATTCTGAACATCAGGTCCTTTTCTGCTTTAGCCTTCCTGTGGAGTATACTTTGTTGCAGTAGTTCATTAATTTGAGGTTGTATTCCAGTTTTCTTAATGCAGTTTTGTTTTTCCTCTCTTAGTTCCTAAAATCACAGACATTTGAAGCTGAAATGGAGTTATGGTGGAAGTTCCTTGATGAAAAACTCCTCATTAGTCCGGGAAAAGCCTTTTGCTGTTATGAGCCTGGATGGTTTAGAATGGTCTTCTCAGACTCTGTAGATAAGATTTACTTGGGTAAGCTGGGTGTTACTTTTATCATAAAATAATATGCATGTTCTAATAAAAGCAAACAGCATTCTGGGATGTTATCAGCAGGAGTTTGTAAGCAAGACAGAAGTAATTCTTCCACTCTACTTTGCACTGATTAGGCCTCAGCTGGAGTACTGTGTCCAGTTCTGGATGCCACATTTCAAAAAAGATGTGAACAAACTGGAGAAAGTCCAGAGGAGAGCAACAAAAATGATTAAAAGTCTAGAAAATATGATCTATGAGGAAAATTGGGTTTGTTTAGTCTGGAGAAGAGAAGACTGCGGTGGGGACATAACAGTTTTCAAGTACATAAAAGGTTGTTGCTGAAAGGGTGTGTGTGAAAAATTATTCTCGTTAACCTCTGAAGTTAGAACAAGAAGCAACGGGCTTAAATTGTAGCAAGGGAGATTTACAATGGACATTAGGAAAAACTTCCTGTCTAGGTAGTTAAGCACTGGAACAAATTGCCTAGGGAGGTTGTGAAGTCTCCATCATTGGAGGTTTTTAAGAACAGATTACACAAACACCCATCAGGAGTGGTCTAGTTATTACTTAGTCCTGCCTTGAGTGCAGGAGACTGGACTAGGTGAACTATTGAGGTCCCTTCGAGACCTACACTTTTGTGGTTCTATAGAAAGGTGATACATCTCAAATGTTCAGTTCAAAACTTGTATTTCCTACTGACTTGTGAAGGCAAGAGGTTTTGGGCCATATTCAGACCTTGTGTAAGATAGTGCTGGTCAATTAGTCTGAATTTGTAGATCCAATTTTAGCATTATCTACATTCTTTTTGTTCACAGTTGTTAGGATAAGTCTATATTTTCAGTTTATAATTGGTAGAATATAGTTACTGAAGGCATTGAGCATTTTTCTCTAAGAGACTAGGGTAATTTATTTAGTTGTTGCAACATAAAGCCAATTTTGAGAGGACTGTAACATGTAGGATGGAATAATTTAACAACCAAAATACAAATCAATAGTTTTCAAAAATCCAATAACTCTGATTGAATAAACACATTAACTTCTGATAGTTTATTTAGGTAAGCACTTTTCCATGAATTATTGCTATCATAAAGGAAAAATTACACACATATGCGCAAACACACACACACAACCTAAAGTTTTTCCCAAACTGTGTTAATAATTACACTTTAGATGATTGTTTAAACTGAAATAATTTTATAACGGTAAATTACTTTTCATGCTCATATTCTTAGAGTTTAAGGCTAAAGAGGACCACCAGATCATGTAGTCTGACCTCTTGTTTAGTTTCTGCCTTTAACTCCGCTTGATAGATTAAACTAAAGTGGCCAGTCTCATTTCTGGTAATTGTGTACTAGCATGATTCTCTTGTTTGGGTGGAGCATATATGTCGTGGTATCTGATACGTGGCTCACAACTGAGAGTGCCAGTCTTATGTCAGACTGTCAGAAAACAGGGTAGACAGCCCCTGTGACCCAGGCTGCCTGGGGTAGCCCTCACTGAAAATGCAAAGCTCAGGCAGGCCGCAAAATGGAGAGCAGATACTCCCAAAACTGGTGGTTTACATTGAAGTAGACTCACCAGCCAGTCACAAACTGTGCTCCTGATTCCCTACACTGGTTATCAAGAAGCTAAAAAAAGAAATCACACAGCACCCTTTATTGCATTCCAGTTCTCTGGCTCTCAATCAGTACCTAGGTGTAGTAAGGTGAGTTACTTAAAAACTCTTCTCACTATACAAAATGTTCTTCTGAACCCCAAAGGGCCAGCCATATTAGGTCAATATTAGGTTGGATCTTACCCAAAATACCACACTTTCAGCCAATCCTTTGGCATCTAAAACTAAAGGTTTAATATAAAGAAAAAAGAGAGAACAAGAAGAGTGTTGTTAAATGGTAAAGCAGTCAGATACTTACAGAGACTTCAAAGTCCATATATCAGGTTCTTAGCCACACTGGTGAGTTTGCTGGCTTGAAAGTCCCTCTGGAACACATCCACAGCTTGGATGGGTCATTCAGTCCTTTGTTCAAAGCTTCATTTATAGAAAGTATGAGAGGGGTAGCCGTGTTAGTCTGGATCTGTAAAAGCAGCAAAGAGTCTTGTGGCACCTTATAGACTAACAGTCGTATTGGAGCATAAGCTTTCGTGGGTGAATAAAGGTTACTTCAGAGGTAAGAAGCAGTAATGAAGACAAATGGAGATGTTGCAATTGACTTTTATATTCTTTTGCCCTGTGGCTTGTACTTTCTGTATCCACAAACACAAGCTTTACAGCACATGGCATGGTAAAGTCTTAGAGTTCTGTCCATAAGCATACCACATGCCTTGCTGACTCATAAGGTGTATCCCCTGGTTCCTTTCAGTGGGTTAATTGTACCACTGATGACCCTTGATGGACCATCAAACAGGCTAGGCAGTACCCTGATGCCAGTCTGTCTGGGGGTGTCACAAGTTTGGAAATACAGATATACCTTACATATCTATAACTCATAATACAAAGGTGATACAAACATATAAACAAGATTATCATACTTGGCAATTTATAACATTTTTGCAGATACCTCACACGACATATCTGGCCAGATTCCTTAAAATTTTATAACATTGGTATCAACAAGATCATAACAATACCATATTCCATACAGCGTCACAGCACATACTGGTGGTATATTCTATAATTAGATCTTTCCAACCAGTAACAAGCATGCATTCCTGGAGTACTATATTAGCTTTACTGTGGAGCCACCGACAGTCCCCTTAGGTTCTCCAGCGTATATTGGCACTCAGACAAACTGGACTTTGGTTTTAATAACGTTGTATTCGAAAATCACTTCACATAAGGATCTTCCCACCCCAAAAGGTTGGTCACTTACCCCAGGTCAGTGGATACTCTGGATCTCACACCAAAAACAATGCTGATAGCCAATCCTTTAGTAAACTAACTAAGATTTATTAGCTAAGAAAAGAATTGAGTTGTTGAGAGATTTAAAGCAGATAAAATACATAACAGGTGAGTCAAAGTTTGTAAATTCAAATGATAGCCATGATGTGATATATGCTAGTTTCCCATAAATCCCTCAGGGTTGCCCAAAATAGCTGTGGGGACCTGTCATGCATCCGGAACGCCCTCTGTCAGCATCCAAATAGATCAGAGATGCAGATTTGCTCCCAGGGTTCCAGTCTGACAAGTGTTTTCAGCACCGCACAGCTCTTGCTTTGTTGACTAATTGCAGACAAAGTTTGTGGATTTCACATTGTTGAATGTAAAGTCTTATGCTTTGAAGTTAACATGTTTCTTCCTTTACAGTTCTTAGGCTTTCAGTCCTGTGTAATGGGCTATTCAATTGCAGAGCATACATAATAATACATAGTAACCACAGGAAACAGGTGAAGACAATAACATTTGCATTTCACTAACTTTCATGCATTTAGAGCAAAGGTAATTTACCAGGCATATGCCATGTACATGTAATGGGGTAACATCCCCCTTTGTTCTATCCTAACCAGTGAATTGATACACGTAGTGCTTCCTTGGGGTTGTAATCTGAGTTGGCTGGCTGGCTGTCAGCGCCACAATATAAATAAGAAAACTACTTTTCATAGTAATTTAAAAAAATGATTTCTCTCTGTTATGGAGGAAAGCTGTTTTGATATGAAGATATGTAATGAGAATTGTTGGAACGCTTTGGCATTAGTAAACATCTAATTTGTTGGTTTATGTAAATTAAGGTCCTGATCCTGCAAATGCTTAAGCACATGCTTTGCTTTATGCATGTGAGTAGCATTCTGAAATCCTTAATGTGACTATTCTTACATAAAATTAAATGTATTTTTGCAGGATCAGGGCCTAACCTGTCCTTCTAAATTTTCATGAGTAAGGGCTAAATCCTGCAATTTCTTTTCTCAGACAAAACTGTACAATTTGAATAAGATCTTCTCTACACTGAAACTGAAATAACTACATTGGTTGTAGTTGTTGTTGTTGTTATGTCAGATAAGAATGCCCTATTTTGGTAATTCTTAAATTGGTTTTAAAAATCTATTTACAGTAGGACGTTTTTATTCTGAAATGAGTACTGACACACACTTGCACTGAAATAACTAAAAGTGTGAATTATAACAGAGTTTAGTGATTTAAATTGCAGTGGCCACGTAGAAAAGAAACGCAGGACATAGATCTATGGATGTGAAATCTGTTGAAGCTTTGCAGCTGGCTACATCATCTTGTAAATTTAAAAAAAAATAAGCTTTTCATGAACTGAAGTCAAATACAAATGTTTTCTTGACTTTTTTTAAAGTTCCAGTGGAAACAGTTATTACATAAACTTTTCCTGCAGAATTTGCATTATTTTGATCATGCATGAGAACCAACTTGAAAATCAATGTAAGTTGAAAGTGAAAATAAAAAACCCTGAAATTAATCTATTTATCCAATCTGAGAAATTTAAAAAGATCATTAGTGGAAAAATAATCCTGCAATCTGCATCATATGTGGTAAAGTAATTTGAATTTTAAAAATTCTCATCTAACAAACTAAGATGTTTAAAGTATCGTTAAGGACACTTTCAACACCACTGCTTCCCTCGAGAAGAAACTTATACTGATGTGTCTTTCTTTTTACAGGTATACAGAGACTTGAGCAAATGCTGCAAACTGAAACTGCTGAACCAGTTGCAAATAAAACATCTGCTGAAGAAGATGAGTTATCTAATTCAGAAGATGAAACTTCAGTGAATCACGCAAATACATCATTAGATGAAGTTTCAGAAACCTACTCAGACATGAAAAAAATTGTTGTCTATTAAAATCTTATCTGAAATTAGAGACTAAACAAAACATGATATAGCATGCTTGTGTTTATTAAAATTGTTACTTTGGCTGTAATACTATAGGACAGTCTCACTTTGCTGTAGCCTGTGGTTACTAATTTGCAAGCTGGACTGGTAGAATATTAGTAACTTGGCCCCTATCCTGACTTTAGCCTCTATTCTAAAAGCACTAAAGCCCACTTTTTAAGCATTCTGTTAAGTACCATTAAAGTCAGTGGGTCTTAAGCATGTGCTTAAGTGCTTTGCTGATTAGAGTGGGTTTGCTTACTCAGGGCCTTAATGAATCTTCAACACAATATTTTATATTATGGAGTATATATTTTAATCAGAAGACTGAAAATGTTGAACTAGCTGATACTGGTTGTCAAATTTTACTCAGTTTGTCAGTTGACAGACAGATGTGTATATAAAATCTACATGGGGACTTTTTAAGATGGTTAAAATAATTCAGACATGAGCTTTCTGAATATGCACACCAGTGTAAATACTAGTTTAGGAAATATTCAGTTTTTTGGCTTCCATGTTTCCTTTCAGATGTGTAAAAAATGCTTATTTATATATTATAATATTTGCATCTTTTTGTTGCAAAAACATAAGTCCTTTGGATCAGTTTTTCTCATAAAATATAAATGTAAATAAATTTAGAAGTATGTCGTATGCATTCATTGTGTTGGACCAAAGTTTAGACCTATATTTGTAGATTTAATTCATAGCTTTATTTATTTTAGGAATGGGAACAGGGAAATTGAAATTGCAAAATCAAAAGCCTTCTCTTTTACAGAGAATCTCTATAGGAAAAAAAGGACTTTCCATAGCATTTAAAATCCCATTATAGGTGGTGGTTGTCGTGCCACCAATATTTAGACAAACTTAACACTTTCCGCTATAAAATCCTGTCTTTAGTTGCCCGCCCTTGCACCACCCCTTCCTCCTGAGGCCCCACCCTAACACCGCCCCTTCCTCCTGAGGCCCCGCCCCCCATCGCTTGACCTTACAGCCAGCAAAAGTGGGAGAGCATAGCCCTCGCACTTTTAAAGGGGGTGGGCATGGCCCCCTGGCCCCACCTGTTCCAGCGCCCCTGGCTGGGGTAGAGAGGCATAAGTGCACTGGATCCTGGACTCTCAAGTTGTAACATTCCTGTGACTACTATCTATTAGCTGTGAATCCCACTGGCAAATGTTTCTTCACTTTCTCACGAAGGTCAACATGGGTCCACATAACAGAATTTCTGTTTTGGCTTGGGGGTTGGGGTGGGGAAGTGGCTGCTTTTTAAAAATATAAGAAATTAAATTTTAAAAGAGACAAAACATTATGGTTACACGGTCAAGCAGTCAAAAGTTAAGAAATGTCAGAATTAAGGCACCCTGTGCAGTCTTAATGTAGCCCCCTTGTGCATATGCACAATGGATACAGGCTTTACATGATCATATGCTACTTTTCCACAGGACTCTGCTTCATACAGTGCACAAGATGGATGGTGCTCCCTGCATGGTTTAATATAGGAGTACTTAACTTTGCATCTTTAATGGTAGGGATTTTTATGTAATACTAATATAAGTAGGCTTGGAAGGATTAGATTTTTAGCAGTAAATGCCAGTAACCATCAATTCCATGGTACACACAGAGACTAATGAAAAAATGTTTCCATCAATAATAATTGAAATGTACAGATAGGCAAAGTAAGAAAAATGCTGCTTGAGAACTTATTAGCATTTGATTTAAGAATATTTTATAAATTTTGATATGTGATGACAACGTTTTTAACAGTTATAAAGCTTTAACTTTTTGAATCTCAACATCTACTGTTGTTAAATTATTGTCTGACGCTCCCTACTAGTTAAATTGATTTAAAACAATTTAAAATGCTTAAAACGCAAAACTTTGCACAACTGTAAACATTTAAATGGATAAAAAGTAAAATTGCATAAAAATAAACATTGATATTATCCGCTGAAATTATTTTTTTTAAATTAATTCTGCCAAGCCTAAATATAAAGTTGCAGACCAAATTTCTGTAGTCAAATTGATTCCTTCAAATCCTTAAGGGTTGCAATTTTAAACTCATATTTATTGTCTAGCTAGAAATGTATTTGCTTTTCAACTAAAGAGATAGATTCCAACATAACTATCTGCTATGTAACAGCATAGGCTCTCCAAATTATAGCTCGCTAGTCAAACAGTTGAATTAAATTACCAAAAACCACCAGGAGTCCTTGTGGCACCTAAGAGACTAACAAATTTATTTGGGCATAAGCTTTAGTGGGCTAAAACCCACTTCATCAGCCCATTTAGCCCATGAAAGCTTATACCCAAATAAATTTGTTAGTCTCTAAGGTGCCTTTTCATTTTGCTGATACAGACTAACATGAATTAGCTGAAGCCTGAATTAAATTATTCACTCATGTGTGGCAGTAGTTTTTCATACGTATATTTGCCCAACAGGGTTTTTTAAATAATCTTCACATTTTTTGCATAATGGAAATGAAATGAAATTAAAAATTAGCATTTAAAAATATCAGGAAGGTAATGTATCCTGTAACATCCTGCACTGCTAAGAGATGAGATAAAGAACTTTTTTTTGCTCTCTTGAAGACTGACCAGCTGTCATCAAGTGAATCTGGGGTAGCTTGTGCAACAGCATGTTTCCCTCACAAGCAGTGACTTACTCAACCCCATCCCAAAGGCCGCTGCCATGACAATTGACAGTTTGAGGGAGCTAGTTTCTTTGGGTGGCTGTGGGAATACATAGTGCTCATTTTCAGGCTCGCTCTTGCTGCAGTGGGTTTGCCTCGATTCTGCAGCTTCAGGAGTTAAGGATCACCCTTGTCTGACTGGAAAGGGCATGGTGACCAGCACCAGGTGCTTTAGAGGAATGGGAGCCCTATTTTAAGCAGATGTGGGATAATTTTTCCCATCATAGGTCTCCACCTGGTCTCTAATAGTTTTGAGATTAGGTTAAACCCTGAAGCATGAGGTTCACTCACCCTTCCAGAATTATTATTGTTAGTTAAAACAACTCTACATATTCTTGATATCTATATAACAATCCAAACCCTTTGTGAATCTTCTTAAATTCTTAGTAGGGATGTAAATAACATTTAAAAAAGTAACCATGTAACCAATTAAAATTCTATCGGTTACACATTTAAACATTTACCTGGGGAACTAGGGGTGCAGGGGGTGCTGCAGCATCCCCGCATTTTACACAGGGCTCCGCTGCTGCCCCCACATCCAGGGATCTCTGCAGCTGCCATCGCGTCTGGAGCTCTGATGTCACCCATGCCGACATCTCGGCTGCCAGCCCCACACCTGGAGCTCTACTGTCCCCTGGCATCCTGCAGCAAAGGCAGCAGCCGGGATGGACCCCGGCCGTGGGGGCCGACAGCCCAGAGGGACCCTAGCAGCCAGGAGGGATCCCCGCCATGGGGTCAGCAGCTCAGAAGGACCCTGGCCAGGTGGCAGCTGGGACCCTGGGTGGAGTTTAACCATTAACAGAAACCTGTTAAACTCTTACACCCCTAATTCTTAGCCTCAATGACTTCCTGTGGCAATGAATCCTACAGTATAATCAGCATTGTTTCTTTGTCTGGCCTAGCTAAGGATCTTAACAGCAACAGTCATTTGCTCTACAGTCTGTAGCAACTGTTCAGCCGCCCCCATCCCTCACCTCACAGAGAGAAAAAGACAAAAGGCTAGATCCGCAAAGGAATTTAGTTGCCTAAGTCCAATATTTAGATCCTCGAAACCCTCACTCTGCCTAACCCTGTAAGTGCCTACATTTCTGTCAGTGGGCATCTACAAAGCCACCTAAATCATTGTGCCATGAGCAATGTGGCATCTATGGCAACCACCCCTCTTTCTCGCTGTTTCCATCAATTCACTTCAATAGTGGGAGCAAAGAAAGCTGCCATTGAATTGGCGAAGGGGTCCCAACCTAAGAAGTTTGATCAGATAGCTGAGAGCATGTGATGAGAAAAACATTGCTTTGAATTTAACATAGTCGGTTAAGTTAGGCACCAATTGCATTTTATCTTTATTTATCTTGTAACTATTTCTGACTTTTATGCCTCATTACTTGTACTCATTTAAAATCTCTCTCTTTGTAGTTAATAAACTGTTTTATCTAATCCTGTGTGTTTGAATTGAAGTGTTTGGGAAACTCCATTTAGGGTAACAAACGGTTTGCATATCATTTCTAGTATTACAATAATGGACTTTATATAAGCTTGTACTGTCCAGGAGAGGTGCTGGGCAGTACAGGACATACATTTCTGGGGGGAAATCTAGGACTGGGGGTGTGTTGGGGTCACCCAGCAGCATAACCAAGGCTGGTAAGAGCCAAGGTGTGGCTGGCTGGCTGCAGCACAAACACACACACACAGAGACACAGCTGGGAGTGACTTGCATGCTGGAGGTGGTTTTTGAGCAGTCCAGACTTGAGGCTACAGAAGTTGTAAAGGACACCCCAGGCTAGAGGGCAGGGGTGACACAGCTACTCATTAGTCTGTAGTGTACCCTGGGTATGTCACACTCACCCAATTTGGTGCCCAACTGAGGGCTGTGGGTTCTGCTAGATGGCAGGATATTTACACGTTAGGCGTTTCATCGCTGAGTCCAAGTCCCCTTTGTGGTGCTAGCCCAAAGAGCTGCCTTATGTACAGCAGCCATACAGATATGGCAGGCATGGGACTTTTGTTCTACCCACGAGAGGCCACACCCCAAAAAGACACTTTCAACTCTCAGTAGTAGCTTCCTATTGAACAGCGTACAGTTTCAGGTCAATGTCTTGATTTCCAAAGTTGTGCACAGACACAGTCCTGGCTTATCTGAGAGGGTGCTTCATCCATGACCATGATTTACCATCACAGCTGCCTTTCACTGGAACAATGGAACAGTTGACCTGTAGGATTATGCTTGTAACTCAGAGAGATGGACCTTTCACAGGTGTCTGACCATACCTATACAACTCACTGCCAGGTGAAATAAAAATGACTGCTAACCTTACCGCGTTCAGAGCCAAATACAAAGCCCATCTCTTTACCCAACCTTTCCTACAAGAGTTCCCCTCGTTCTCGCCCATTCATCTAAGAAAACAAACAACCCCAAATCCTGTCTGGAGGGAAAGGTGAGAGACAGAGCAAGCATTGTCATCTTTTCCCCTCATGACAGGGGCTTAGCTACTATGGTGAGACGGCCCATGCAAGTACCTGGATAGGCCATTACCAGCATGGGTTAGAGTTGGACTAGTGATTCAAGGGTGCTATTTGTTGACACAGTCGTATTTCTGCTCTTCTCACCTTGATAATGTCTAGCCACACCCCAGCTATGCAGACTTTGTACCCAATGCTGATAGGTAACAAACAACGTAACTGTCTGCTTTCACTTTTAGTCTGGTGAATGCATTTTCAGCTTCCACTCTCACTGCCCTTGCTGGTTTTATGTGTAACTTCTCAAAGAAAAGGGTGACAGTCTCTTTTTAATATTATCTAATGCTGCAGCAATCTGCCAATTAAGCTACTAGAAACAAAGATTAAAGAACTCAGGTGCAGTGAAAAAACAATGATTAGCTCTGTATAAGTAAATTTCTTCCTGTTAATAGCTCGGGCTAGTTTTATCTCACACACCAGACAAATAATCTGTCTCACACTGAAGAAAAATAGAGGTAAGTCTAGTAGTAAACAATATGTAACATTGAAAATATAATTGACTGGTAAACTCTAATGATGTGATTATTTTGCACAGGTGTGTTTTACAGTTATGTAATTTTCACATTAACAAATTATTGATGACTTCATAGTTGTGTTTGAACCAATTCTATTGCATTCATATAGATCATGTTTTTAAACTATACTAGATTAAGCAAGAGTTTCTGGGTTATGCATTAAGGTACTTTTTAAACATTCTTGTTGTGAGGATAATGGCTACTAATAGTTCTTTTCCCAACACGCGTCTAGGTGCCGAACGTACTCAAGAGAAGGAATAAAACAATGGCGGTGCAGGTCAGACGTCGCTCATTGAGACTCAGTCAAAAAAAACAAAACATTGAAAAGGCAAATGTCCATTCCCCACCAGCCCAACACAGTAAAAAAAGGCTTTGTAATAAGAGGTCCCAGCAGAGCAGTTCAATGCTAAACCAGCACAATAACAATAACAAAGATGAGTGGCAATGTCTTAAGTGTTCACAGAAAGGTAAGTGGAGAAATTCCAGAAGTGGATGTTACTTTTCTGGATGAATCCTTGCTGATTGAAAGGATATTCTGCTTTTGTTCTCAACTGGTTCATGAGGTTCAGGGTTTACACACAGGAACTAAGGAGCCCAAATTCTGCTCACATTGTTGAGATTCTGATTCCCTTGCTTACACTGAATAAAATGACAGGTTTCAACATGGTAGCCATGTTAGTCTGTATCAGCAAAAACAATGAGGAGTCTGCAAGCCACCCCACTGATTTCAATGGGACCATATGTGGAGTAACATTTTATTCAGTAAAAACAATGAGGAGTCCGTGTGGCACCTTAGAGAGTCAGAAATTTATTTGGCCATAAGTTTCATGGGCTATAATCCACTTCATCAGATGCATGGAATGGAAAATACAGTAAGCAGGAATAAATATATTTCTTATTTATAAATAAATTTATAATTTATTTCATATAATTTTATTTCAAATAAATTTCTTAGTCTCTAAGGTGCCACACGGACTCCTCATTGTTTTTCTGAATAAAATGTTACTCCACATATGGTCCCATTGAAATCAGTGGGGTGGCTTGCTGAGTTACAGTACTGCACATCTTGAATAGGAGTGTCACAGTCTGGCCCACTGAGCTCAAGAGCGAAAACACTCATTGGCTTCAGTGGGCACAAGATTATTCCTTTTTCTTTCTTTTTCTTTTTAAAGTTCTTGTTGGGAAACAAACTGCTGATATGGAAGTTTAAAAATTAGCTGCTAAATGTTACCAGCTGAGTGTCCATGGCTTAATTGCTTGACCATTTCAAATGTCATTGCTGTGGTAAGTTAGTAGCCACACTGCAATCGCAAATGGATATTTAGCTCTGTATTTTTGAATGCAGCTGTAGTTTTAATAATTGAATAAGCCATGGTTGAGTAACCAACAGATGTTTTAAATCCACATTCCTCTTCAGCATACCTTGGCATGATTACTCTTCGTCCAAATTTCCTCAATATTTTATCACCTTTTTAGAGTCCTAGAAAATAAAAATGCTGTTTCCTTCTGCCCCTCCTCAATGAACTCCAGGGCTCTGAACTTGCAACATAAGGCATGCCTGTGTGCTTGCCCATTCCCATGGAGTCTTATTTAAATTTGTGGGTGCACGGCTTCATTTCTGATTGATCAACTGCAGGATTGGTGCCCAGCAGTGTAAAGTCTCTGATCACCAATCAAACATTATACAGTAGCCTTGATGTTTCCAGATAAAAATGACCTTTGTCCAAAAAGCTTGCATCAAGGGGTTATAAAGAGAAACCGCATACAAATTAAGTAATCTGTAAGTTAAAACACCAGGGAACAGAAGCCATTCATTCTTCATTTCTGTGCAATGTAGAAAGACAAAGAAAGTGCAGTGATTTGATCCCTGTGAAAATGTCTTATTAGTTCGCAGTTTCCTGGCAGCCAGAAATGTAAGGGAACGGTAGAGTTGTAGAAAGATCCACCCATCACAGTAGCTGGGCAGCTGGGTAAGGGGTAAAGTAATGAAGACACACATGCACATACCTGCAGCCCCTAGAGGGGCTTCAATTGTATCAGACACTTGCAAGTCAGATCCCACTGGAAAATCTCCAAGCTACAAGAGGGTGTGTGGGAGGGAGTTCTCCACTACTTTATCTTTCCTCCTGCACTCTGGTTGCTGTGCTGGTGTATGTATGCTTCTACTTTTTACCTAGCTCTTACATTTCTGGCTACTGCAAAAAGAATGTCTTGTCTCTGCTACCCTACTCCTTTGCTAGTTACTGCTCAGAGCTTTACCAAGCAATTGAAAAGGAGCTGATTTTGTCAGGTGTTGTAGTCAGGAGTAGCTCACAACTGTGAGTGCCTAACTCAGGGCAGACTGCCAACAACAGGGCAGACATCCCAAACTGGTGATATGTTCTATAATTACATTTCACAAAGCCAGTGACAAATGTGAACTCCTGGATCACTGTAACAGTCTTACCATGGAGCCACACACAGTCCCCTTAAACTTTCCAGTCTATCTCGCCACTCAGTCAATCTGGATTTAGTGATAAATGGTCACCTACACCAAAAAACACAAAATATTCAGGTTGCTTCCAGTCTCAAGAGACCAGTCACTTACCACAGATCAACTGGTACCTAGCTTTTATACCAAAGACAACTCCTGTAACCAATCCTGTAATAAACTATCAAAAGGTTTAGTAACTAGGAAAAAGAAATAAGAGAGTTATTTATAGGTTAAAGCAACCAAAATTATACACACAAATGAGTTGCAATCTAAATCCTAACAGTTATACAGATCTGTCAATTCAAAATGTCTTTCAGGGCAGACCCAGGGATAACCCATGGGGATCTCTGGCTTGAGTTTAGTGTCTCTAGCCCTGTGGAGTTCAAACAGCAAAGAGATGAAAAATCTTCATGTACACTATTTTTGTTTCCCTCTTCCAGCATTCAAACCAATGGGATGAGGCCTTTTGCACCTACTTCTCCATGGATGGATGGGGCAATTAACAAAATTTGTCTTTTATGATGGCCCACTTAATTTTTGATCGTCCTCCTGGATAGGGTGGGGGGTAGATTCCCATGCCTGGGTTCACAAGTGCAGAGCAAACATTTTCAAACATTTCCATAAAGTAGTGATCGGCAACCTTTGGCACGCAGCCTGTCAGGGAAAGCCGCTGGCGGGCAGGGCGGTTTGTATACCTGCAGCGTCCGCAGGTTCGGCTGATTGCAGCTCCCACTGGCTGCGGTTCGCCGCTCCAGGCCAATGGGGGCTCTGAGAAGCTACGGCCAGCATGGCTTATCTAAAACAACACTTTCTGCACTATTTCCTCAGCTTTCGTCTTGAAAGTGGACTGCTTTACAACACTTCTCTTGGCAATAACAATTGGTATAGTCTCTGGATTGATTTACTGGTAAGTTCTCAGTGTTTAGCTTCATATTAAACTACACTTCTAGGAGTGTGTCCTTGTAGCATGAGTTGACTAATGCTGTCCAAAGGCTAGCTGGTGCCTTACCTGGCCTTGTGGGGAAACAGGAGGGGATGGAGACTTCCTCCTTGTACAGCTGTGTCAGGGCTCCTCACAATTGTGCTCAGAGGCATATAGAGGATTCCCACTGGGTGCAACTAGGCAAGAGATGGGGAGTAGGCAGAGCTAGCTGGATGCACTGCTCTGTTGTACCCCATAAAGTGATGTCACAAAGTACTCCCACCACCTCCCAATAGTGCAACCCAGGAGCCCAGAAGGAAAGAGGGGGGCATCTAATAGCAGAGTTTCCATGGGAGTTTGTAGAAGGAAGTTTGGAGGCTTTGCATTACAGGTTCATTTTTGCCTCAGCAAAGGATGGACAGCAAGTCATCCGTTATTGTTACCAGCATTGGATGTCCCATGTTCTGCTTCCTGCCTGAAGAGAGAGAGATTGTCTGCATGAAGTGCAGGCTGATAAGCCCTGATGGAGGGAAAGGTTTGTGGTCTCTAGGAACAAGTGATCACCTTCCAAGCACTGGGGCTATGGAGGATTTCCTGTCTATCCAGATCCAGTCAATACACAGCAGGGCCTGCAGGAGGAAGCAACAGAGTGAAGTGAAGAGGAGACAAGGAGAAAGAAGACTGGAAATTTGTCTCCACTCCCTCTAGGAGAACCTGAAGGATATTTTCACAGTTGGAAGTCTTGTCTTACTCAGCACCTGGTAGCAATTCATGTGGAGAGAACAACCTGCAAGGACCGACTGGAGGAAAAATAGCAAAGGTAAGAACTGAGAACTACTGCTCAGATCAAACCAGATGGACCTCAGACAAGTCCAAGAGAGCTTGTCAAAGAAGAATACAATCCTCACTGGGGATTCCGTGCTAAGAAGAGTGGATAGAACATTCTGCAAGGGGCAGAAGGACAGCAGGACAGTTTGCTGCTTCCAGAAGCAGAGATGAAGGACGTCACCACAAGAATAAATAAGATTCTGAGGTCGGCCAGAGACTTTCCTTTGATGGTGATCCTCATCAGCTGCAATGACACCATATCAGGCACCATTCCACAGATCTTGGAAGACTTCAGGAAGCTGAGAAGGAAACTGAAGGAAAGGAATATCCAGGTGATCTCCTCAGGAACCTTCCAGTCCCTTGAGTGAGAGAAGAAAGAAGGTGAAGATATTGGAAGTGAATCTCTGGTTAAGTAAGGAGAGAGAAGGAGTTCTGTTTAGGGCCTTCCATGGAGAATGAGGGCAGGATTTGGCATAAGTGTGAACTTTTACCACATCTGTCACTGCTCTACAACTCATCTTTGCTATTTAAATTCTTCGCTTATTGCCTGTTTGTCTTCTGTGAACTGTTGGTGTAAACAGCACTTCCTGTAAGTTCAAGCCGTGTGTGTGAAGTAGGACCATGTAAGGAAAGCAATGCTAAATACAAATAAAGGGCCAGTTCCAGTCAGTTAAACTCCTGCAACTCCACTGAGGTCAATGGAGATGCACAAATATCACTGAGAACCAAAGCTGCCCAATGTATTTTGCAAAGCCATAGGTGATTTGTAGCAACCACTTTTGTCTCTTACTAGGAACATGCTTCAAGGATGGCAGCAGAAGAAGCTCTGGTTTTGGCTTAAACTTTTGTAAGTAACCAAAATGACTCACCAATCCACTGTGTTTCATTAAACATGATCTGTGAGATTATTAACTGTACAAGCAGGTATCCGTTCCCAGGCTGAGTGTGACCAGTATTGCTGTCACATCTCTTGATAGTGACACAAGAAGTGAATCGATTACATTTTCCCCTCCGCTTTCTTTTCTCTGTTCCCCATCTTCTTCCTTCCCCCTCCTTTATAGAAGGCTCAGTCCTAGGATTTCCGTGTGAGTCTAGCGAATAGAAATGCACACCGGTATGCTCTGTATGTGTCTTAGTTTTCCGATGGCATTATTTCATTTAGTGACAATTTATCATGGATCTTTACCCTTTGCATAGGCAAATTCACTCAACCACACCAGGGAGTTTGTCAGTAGCTGGTGTGTAGGCACGCATATGCTACATAACACCAGATTGCTGGCCTCACCCACAGCACTGGAACACAAGAGGTGGGCAGCTACACTTGCTTTGTGTGGAGATCCACTGCCCAATGTATTCATCAGAATCGCAATACTACTGCAGTGGAGTGTCCAGAAGAGAGCTCCAGCCTGGGGAGGGGTCAGGTGGGCTTGAGCTTGGGTGGTTAGCCCAAGTCTCTGCTGGAGCCATAACAGCCACACAGCTATTTATAGCACTGTAGCTCAAGCCCCACTAGTGCAAGGCTATCTACCTGCGTCGGGAGCCTCGCTCCCAGCTGCAGTGTAGACATACCCTTGGTGGGGAGGTGGAAAGAGGAAAGAGTCCCATGTGGGGTGCTCAGATATTACAATGATGAGAGCCGTATATGTATGTAAACAAATGGAAGTGGAGGTAGGGGGAAGAGAGATCTGAGCAGATGTTAAAAGAGAGATGTCAGAGGCAGTAGAGAAAACAGAAGAGGGCAAGACACAAGTGACACAGTTTATATGTGTAAAACCCATCACCTGGGTACCTACAGGTGTTGCTGATCAAAAAGTGCATAGACATAAATGAAAGCCACTTTTGGAAAACTTGGCCCCAGCACCATTTTTTGCTAGGGTCTGTATTTCTGCACAACTCTATAGTTCGAACGACATCTCAGCTCAGGCAAATCAGATAGATAATGCGCAAGTCATCTGATGCACTTACAAACATATGATGATATTCTAAGAACAGGTAAATCCTGACTACCCCTCTGATTCAGGGATTGTAGCCAAAAATCAAAATTTCACCAAAATAAGATTCCAACTGGAGAGCCATTACATATTTCAGCTAATGTTTGGCTTTGTATAATTAAGAGCCTGGTGCAATAACAAAAAACATATAGACAACTAAACATTGTATAGCTCAGCGATTCAGATGTAATATTTGTATGCTATGTTTTAAATAGTGGAAATACTAACAACTGTCATCAACTATATTTAGCCAAAATATTAATGTCAAAAATGTTTAATTTGTTTTTAGTCCAGCAACTATTGGTCTGCTGTTTATAATTGACTACTGTGGCAACAACTGCAAAAAATTCCCACTGAACTTAATTTTACCGTTGATGATTGTAAGTATATTGTTGAAGTCTATGCGTTTTCCCTATCATTTTCCTTTAATATGTTTTAAGGAACTACCCAGGTTGTCTTCAGATGCATAAACGTGAACATTTCTCTGAACCAAAATGGAGTCCAAAAAATGACTCCTATAATTGTCAGGGAGTCCAAAAAATGACTCCCTGACAATGCCACCTATTCTGGAGGATGGAACCTGCTGAATAACATGGAATTTGTGTAAATTTAAAAGGGACATGGTGTGCCTGGGGAGGAGGTGGAACTGTGCGATTGCAGGAGAGTCTTTATAACAAAATTAATAATCTTAGCACCTTTCTACACTTCTAATCTCTAAAACTCAAGTTGCTTTACAAAGGAAAGTCTGATTTACTCCCCCTCTGCAGTGTTCACTAGCCTATTGTGTCATGTATCCATTAATCACATGCTGGGGCAGGAATAAAACCCATCTACTGCCTGGCATCAGGGGAAGCTGAAGGGAAGAAAGGATGAACGATTTGGTGGTGGTCAGATCATTCAATTGTATCCCACCAAGTTTTTGTCTCTGGAGCATTCCCTCTATTGCTATGTCCTTTTTGGAGATCAAAGAACCCCACATTTCCCTAACCTTTGAGGTTCCAAGTTGTAGCTAGGGTGACCAGGTGTCCAGTTTTCGACTGGAATGCCCAGTCAAAAAGGGACCCTGGCAGCTCTGGTCAGCACCACCAACTGAGCAATTAAAAGTCTGGTCTGCTGTGCTGGCTAAGGCAGGCTAGTCCCTACCTGTTCTGACATCCCACTGTGCCCCGGAAGCAGCCAGCGGGTCTGGCTCCTAGTCGGGGGCGGGGGCACTGGGCTCCACGCACTGTCCCAGCCTTAAGCACCGGCTCTGCACTTCCATTGGCCAGGAACCAGCCAATGGGAGCTGGGGGGGCAGTGCCTGCAGGTGAGAACAACACGCAGAGCCGCCTGTGTGCCTCCACCTCGGAGCCAGACCTGCTGCTGGCCGCTACCGGGGTGCAGCACGGTCTGCGGTGCCAGGACAGGCAGGAAGCCTGCCTTAGCACCCATGTTGCACCGCTGACTGGGAGCCACCGGAGCTAAGCCCATGCCTCAACCCCCTGCCCCAGCCCTGAGTGCCCCCCAAACCTGGAGCCCCCTCCTGCACCCCAAGCCCCTCATCCCTGGCCCCATCCCAGAGTCCGCACCCCCAGCCTGAGCCCTCACCTCCTCCTCCACCTCAACTCCCTGCCCCAGCCTGGAGTCCCCTCCCCCACTCTGAACCCCCCATTTCTGGCCCCACCCCAGAGCCCATACCCCCATGTTAGAGCCATCACCCCCTCCCGCACCCCAACCCCAGACCAGTGAGAGTGGGGGAATGCAAGCCACCGAGAGAGGGGGAATGTAGTGAGTGGGGTAGGGGGGTGGGCCTTGGTGAAGGGGCAGGGAAGGGGGCAGGGCTTCAGGGAAGGGGCGGGGCTAGGGTGTTCGGTTTTGTGTGATTAGAAAGTTGGCAACCCTAGTTGTAGAATGTATTTTTTCCAAATGTGCCTATAAGAAAATGGCCTGTGGACTTCTTAGTTATTCCTATTTCACTTGATTATGATGCGAGCATGAAGAAGGATCATTGTGGAATTGCTCAAATAGTTTAAGGTGTAAAGTAATAATGCTTTAAAGACAATGACTAGGGAGCTGATTTCCTTAGAGATCTTCTATATGCTGTGTTTCTTTCCCATCATCATCCTGACCATTTTTTTTCAGTATTTCATATCAGTAATATAAGGAACTGAAATAAAAATATGCAACATTTTAATAAGGGACATTCTTCTCCATCTCAAAGGAAATGGTCTCTCTCTCTCTCTGTTTTGGATTTTTTTAGACTGTTATCGAAGGGCTGGTGCTTGGAGTGGTTTCATCGTAAGTCTTTTTCAAGAATTTTCTTTAATTGTACTTTAATTGTGCATTCCATTTAAATAATATGTTATATGCTTGGATTTTAGCTTCTTTGCTGCCATGACAGTAATGCAGGTTGGAGGAATAACAGCATTTGTGACGGTGATGCTAACTTGGGTTGCTCTAAAGTCAAAAGTAAGTATCATCTCATGAAATATTTGGCAAAAGAACAGTTTGAATAGCCAATATTAGCATTCATTTACCAACAAAATTATATTAATTTATATTTTTGAGTCACATAGAGCTCTGGTGAGCTACTTTTTTACTCAGCATCTTACTTCAACTATTGGCTTTTGTTTTGGTGCAAGGGATGCGCATATTAAAAAACAAATCTGATAATTTGACTGACCTAAAACCTGTGGTCCTAATTAATTTATGCTATCCTCCCACAAAGAACACATCTATCTACCCACACATTTTGCTGCTCTAATCCCAGTAACCAATGACCGATTATAAAACCCAACTACACTGGTGATAAAATGCAGTTCTCTCGGCATGTTTTCCATGTGAAAATTCTATCATTCACATGAGCAGGTACTAGAATCTCTCCCACAGGTGCTAGTGAGTGCTAATGTGTGTGCAATAGCAGCTGGAGGCCAGGTTAAGGACCTAATTAAAATCAAGACGTGTAGTACTTAGAAATCAATAAAACGTATTTCAGAGATTTATTTAGTTTAATCAAAGTCCAGGAAATGGAGCAGAAGCTTAAACCAGCCTTGGTAATTTCAGGATTGTACCAGCTGTATATCATTGATTCAAGCTGTAATTTCAGGATTGTACCAGCTGTATATCATTGATTGCTTACTAATCACTGTCCTTAGAAAACATGGTAGCATTCGCAATCACAGATGTGTTGTTTAATAGCAACTGAAGACAGTCTTATTGTATTTGTTGTTCTCAGTTGAACGTCACTTGTGAAGCTGTGCCCCCCTGGAGTGTGGTCTCAATGTTGGTCATCTTTGGAATTCTCTGTATCTTTAACAGATCACCTGTAAGTAATTTACTTAGTATTTCTCATGAAAGCACACAGCGCCTTTTCAGAATAGCCATGGCTGTACCATACAGTACTTATACCCAAAATGTCTACACAGCAGCTGGAGGTGTAATTCCCAGATTGGGTAGATTATACATGCACTAGCTTTGCTCGAGCTAGAACCTAAAAATAGTGTGGCCGCAGTGGCTCGGGAAAGCTGGTCAAGTACAGTCCCACCCACCGCCCCAGGCACATACGTGGGTGGCTAGCCTGAGCTGCTGCCTGTGCCATGGCAGCCATACTGCTATTTCTAGATGTTACCACAAGCAGAGCTAGAGCGTGTAAGTCTACCTACCCACGCTGGGAATTACACCTCCCAGCTGCTGTGTAGATGTATTCTATATCTGGCATCGGACAGTACCAGTAACCTCAGCTCTCACTACAGCAAACTACAGCAAAATCCTCACTGCGGAAAGGAATGATGAGCTATGCACAAGGAAGAAGTGCCACTGTGTGACACAAATTGTACTCCTCTGAACATTGTTTTGTTTAATCAGCTGATCGGTAGATGTCCTCTGTATGTTTTTCCTATTTCAGTCCTCTCTGAGTAGCAAAAACCAATGTGTTAACAGGTATCCATAGTCTCTTCTGGATTTACAAGCCAAGAAAGGCTGTGCATGTTCCCAAAATGAAAAACAGAATACCGTGGGAGAGAGTCTAAATGATCGCACCTGAATGAGAAGCTTAGTAACAGATATATGAAGTGTATTATTTGCCAGTTATGGATTAGCATTTGTTTTAGATCAGCTATGAAACAGTTCTGCTGGGGCTTCTTTTTACTATGCCAGAAATGTCCCTTTTAATGCTGACATTGGTTTAAATGCTATAAGGCCTGTAACTTTAACTTGTTCCTATTTTCCTATTTGTCATTTTGCAATGATGGTGAACACAAACATATTTCTTCACCTTTTCTTATAGACACTACAGCTAAATTATGCTTTGTTTGGAACGCTGATCTTTGCAATTGTAAGTAGAATATTTGTATAGCATTCTCTCTCTCTTTTTGAAATAAGATGTTGTCACCATACAAACTATTTTCTTTGGCCAAAATTTTCAAACTCAGTTATCTAGTATGAGGTTCCATAATTAGGCACCTAAATAGTTTTGGCCTGATATTTCAAAAGTGCTAAGCACTCTCTGTTCTCATTGAAGGCAGTGGCTCTGTAGATGCTTAGCATCTCTGTAAACCAGGCCACTTTTACCTATGCCTGTTGTGGAGAAATGCAAAGTTTCTTCCCCAGCAATTTTGTCTAGGCCATTTAGTGCTTGTTGATGAATGTGTAATTTTGCTGTGAAAAAGCAGCAGCGGTCTCATTAGTGGCAGTGAGGCTGCCTGAGTGCTCTAGTAGATTGCAGTTCCTGGAGCAGGTGGCTTGGGGCACGTGATAGTGGGCAGTTCCCTGTGGTTGGGGTTAACGAGGCCCAAGGAGCCAGAGAAGTTGAAAGGATCAGCATTAAGGGGGAAGAGATCATTAATAAAATAACAGAGGCACAAGAAAACATTTGTAAATTGCCTTTTCTTAAAGCATTTTGCCAAAAAAATATGAGTGACAACTTAAATTCTGCCCTACAGTCTTGTTACTAGGACTAGAGGTCCCTTTAGGAGAAATAAACCTTTGCAATTATGATGTCCACAAACATTACCAAATGCATCTGAGTCCCTGTCATAGTTACCGTCATAGAATGTTTCACGGTAGGTTTAGTCCCAGGTGTGCGCAAGTGCTGTATATAAACTTTGTATTTTGTATAAACGTTGTAAGACCCAAAAGAGGGGAAAAAAGGTAATTAAGGTTTTTCCTTCCTTGTTCTTGTAAGCATTTGATGAAGACACAAGTTAGAATCAGAAGAGAATCCACAAAGGATCAAGAGCCCATCGACTATGCATTGAATCTCTACATAGACATTGTAACCCTTTTCTTCTTTATGCTGCAGTTAATGGAGCAGCAACAAGCTCTTATTTTGGGGTGGCGAGTTGGTAAGCCTCCCACATATTGAGAGAAGTACACTACGTGGTGAGACTGACTTTTAGACTGAACTGTTTTTATCCATATAGGTCCCCTGCTTCTTGGTCCCTGTGGAAAGGGGGCTAGGTTACTGTTGTGGAGACTGTTAGCGTGGGAGTGTGAAAAACACTAGTACAGTGGTTTTTTGAAACTTTTTTTTTTGCGGACCACTTGAAAATTACTGAGGGTCTTGTCGGACGACTTAATGATCTTTCCAAATGTTGTTTGTACTGTTAGCTAACTACTGTATTGTAAAGTACTTTGCATAAAAGCGCCATATAAAAAAACCTTAATAATTAATGATTTTTTGTTTTACAAATAAACGCACACAACTCATATTTTAATATCTTACCTTAAAAGTCTTACCTTTCTAATGTGATGGATGTGCTTTCTCTCCCTTGCCGTGGCAGCCCCCAAGCTGGGGCTGGGAAGGAGGGGGGTCTCTCCCCCACCACGGCAGCCACCGCGCTGGGGCTGGGAAGGAGAGCAGTTTCTCCCCCGCCACAGCAGCCCCCAAGCTGGGGTGGGGAAGGAGGGAGGTCTCTCCCTCCGTGGCAGCCCCCAAGCTGGGGCTGGGAAGGAGGGTGGGGATCTCTCACACTCTTCCCCACTGCAGCAACCCCCAAGCTGGGGCTGGGAAGGAGGAGGTATCTCCCCCGCCACAGCAGCCACAGCGCTGGGGCTGGGAGGGAGGGCCGTCTCTCCCTGGCAGCCCCAGCCCTGGAGCTGGGGAGAGTCGCCTCTTTCTCTGGCCGCCACAGCCCTGCAAGTCCCAAATTTCCCTCACTCCCTGTTTGTACCCCACTGCCCCATCCCACCTACTCCCTACTCCCCCCAAGGCCACCACCTCACCTTACATGTGCATCTTCTCCAAGGTCCAGGAACCTAATTAGTGAAGACACACCTGCACAACTCCACTAATTAGGTGGGTGGGCCTTCATTCTCTTGTGTGCAGCCTCCCAGGCACGCACCTTAGAGGGAACTATCCGTGAACCACCTGAATGGAGCTCGCGGACCACTGGTGGTCCATGGACCACAGTTTGAGAACCTCTGCACTAGTAGATGGGTTGACACTGAGTGGGATGTTGCGGTGGAGGGGGAGTGTCCAAGAAGATGTGGGATATCAGGGAATAAAAGGGTATTTTGTGGGGAAAATCTATGTGATAACTTATGGAAGGCCATGAGGCAGGGGAGGGAGAGAGCATGAGCCCTCTTAAGAGAGGATCACTTGGTGTTGGGTGGTATTCTAACATTTGTGCGGGGGTATTCTAACATTTGTGCAAGTCCCAGGGAACTGGAGGCTAAGGAGGGTCTTTGCTTGTGGTATTGGCAATTAAATTATTAGGACGTCCTTTTGCAGCCTGCCCTGGAAATCCTTATTTGGGTGCCCAGTGGCATCCTTTTGGTGGCTACTTTAGGGTGGCCAAGAGGATGAAACAATGCTGTCATTGATGGGGACATGGAGGCCTGGCGATGAGGTTGAGGCTAAGACATCAGGGGGACTTTGGCATTGCAACACCATTGAAATAAATAGGAGTCAGGCACCTAGAAAAATCCCATTAGCTGCCTAAATACTAGGGCTGTCAATTGGTTAAAAAAATTAATTGTGATTAATCACACTCTTAAACAATAATAGAATACCCTTTATTTAAATATTTTCAAATATATTCTTTTCAGTTACACCACCGAATACAAAGTGTACAGTGCTCACTTTATATTTATTTTTGAGGACATATTTGCACTGTAAAAAACAAAATAAATAGCATTTTTCAATTCACCTAATACAAGTACTGTACTGCATGAAAGTTGAACTTACCAATGTCAAACTATGTACAAAAAAATAACTGCATTCAAAAAATAAAACAATGTAAAACATTAGAGCCTACAAGTCCACTCAGTCCTATGTCAGCCAATCGCTCGTATTCTGTAGTATCCGCATCTGAGTGTTTCTCTTTTAAGACTTCTGAAAGCATGCTCCGTACCTCATCCCTCTGATTTTGGACTACACTTCAGACTCTGAAACCTTGGGTTTAGTGCTATGGCTTTTTTTAGAAATCTCATATTGGTACCTTCTTTGCATTTTGTCAAATATGCTGTGAAAATGAACATGCGCTGGGTCATCATCTCAGACTGCTATGACATGAAATATATAGCAGAAAGCGGATAAAACAGAACAGGAGACATACAATTCTCCCCCAAGGAGTTCAGTCAGAAATTTAATTAACACTTTTTTTTTTTTTTTTTAAACAAGCATCAACAGCTCGGAAGCATGTTCTCTAGAATGGTGCCCGAATCATGAAGGGGCATATGAATGTTTAGCATATCTGGCACGTAAACACCTTGCGAATGCCTGTTCTCACTTTCAGGTGACATTGTAAATAAGAAGCAGGCAGCATTATCTCCTGTAAATGTAAACAAACGTGTCTGTCTTAGCAATTGGCTGAGCAAGAAGTAGGACTGAGTGGACTTGTAGGCTCTAAAGTTTTACATTGTTTTGATTTTGAGTGCAGTTATGTAACAAAAAAAAAATCTACATTTGTAGATTACACTTTTAAGAAAAAGATTGCACTACAGTACTTGTATGAGGCGAACTGAAAAATACTATTTATCTTATTTTTACAGTACAAATATTTGTAATAAAAAAACAATATAAAGTGAGCACTAAATACCTTTAAAAACCTGTCCCTAGATGACCACCAGGGGATGTCTTAGACTATAGCTGACTGCCTGATAATTTTTAGAAGTTTTATGCCATGGATGTATACGAGGCAAATGAAAGGTTCTTTGCCTCCAACATATATTCTGCAACTTCTCCGCTCAGCAGATTTATTTCACATGGTGGACATTTTGGTTAAGATAAGCTGCCTTCACTGTGTGGCTGATTCAAATACCCCCCAGTATGAGAAAACTGCTTCTTCTTTTATAGATAAGATTATGAGAATTCAGCCTGCAATGCCTGTGTAGTGGCAGAGTAATAATAGAATCATAGCAATGTAGGGTTGGAAGGGAGCTTGAGAGGTCACCCAGGCCAGCCTGCTGTGCAGAGGCTGGACCAAGTATACCCTCATCATTCCCGGCAAGTGTTTGTCCAGCCTATTCTTAAAAACCTCCAGGGACAAAGATTCCATAACCCCCTTGGAAGCCTATTCCAGAGCTTACCTACCTTTATAGTTTAAAAAGTTTTTCTCATATCTAACCTGATCTGCCTTGCTGCAGATTAAGTCCACTACCTTTTGGCCTACCTTCAATGGACATGGGAACTGATCAGTCTTCAAATATGTTAAAGGGTTGTTACAAAGAAGACCGAGGTCCCCCCTCAGTCTTCTTTCTTGAGACTAAACATACCCCAATTTTTTTTTTAAACCTTTCTTCATAGGTCAGGTTCTCTCTCATTTTTGTATTGCTCATCTGGATTGTATCCAATTTGTCCACATCTTTCTTGAAGTATGGCACCTGCAACTGGACATATTATTCCAGCTGAGGCACTAAGTCCTCTCTTCCCAGGTTTCAGTCTCTCACGGAGATTCTGGAGTGGTGGGAAGCACTGTGCTCTAGACCCATGACTTTTTAAGATGGCAAAGGCCAGTGGGGAAAAATCTGACGTAATATTAGAGGGGACCGTCAACACTCTTTGGGAAGGGCAAAGTGCTAGCATTCTATCTACATACAGCCATCATGTAAGTTTCTTTTGGGTGTGGATCTTCCCGCTGTCACCCAAACATTAGATTACTGCAATGTCCGGGGGGGCTACATCTTAAATGCATCTGGAAACTAAAGTTGGTGCAGAATTTAGCTACCTGTTCAATAAATGGAGTATCCTGCTACAAGCACAGTGCTCCATGATCTGCACTGGCTGCTTATTCATTCTTGGGTGGAATTTAAGATGGTATTATTGAGCTATTAAACACCCCCCCCCACAAAAAAAAAGAAAAAAAAAATGTAGGTCCTATGCACATAATAGATCTTGTGCCATTCTGCTGTATTTATGGCTACTAGAGTCCCCTCCAGAGAAGTTGGAGCTAGTGGCCGAGTCCCTCAATTTTAGAATTTACTCCCCCACTTGGAATATTCCCAGCAGGTTGACCTTGAGGGCATGCTGCAAACCTTACTTGTTTTCCCTAGCATTTGGAGAGGGGGAGAGTGGAGGTTACACTTTGTCTGGCTATTGCTAGTTAACTGTTAGTGGAATTAAGGGAAGTGTGATTATTTTAAATTTCAAGGGTACATACCCTTGAAGGGAATTTTTTTTAATTGACTTCTGCTTTTCCCCACTAAGTTAAAACATGTCTCTGGAGCAGGAGTCTTGTCTTTGTCTGTGCTTGCACAGGACCACCTGAGACAATACCTCAACATTGACTGGGAGGTTTTGAGTGTTACCATAATATAAATAAAACCATGAAGGACCTGCAATCTCTGAAGCGTGTAGTATTTTTCCCCTATGATCTAAGGAGACTGTAAAGTGCTTAAGCGGGGTAAAAACGTTAGTATGAATTTATTAAACAGATTTTCTGTTCAGTGGACTAAATAAAAAAGATCAGTATTTCTCAGGTTCTAAGATCTAAGATGCTGGTGAAGGCTTTTAAATATTTATATACAAAATAAGATTTACTGATGGTCAGTTATTAATCTTGATGTTTAAGTACCTTCCATTTCTTTAGTAATTGCTTTGGAATTTGAGGCATATGAGTTTAACATAATTAAACTGTTTGTTTTTCAGAAGTCCATTTTTTACTATTTACCTTTTCATTCTTATGAACTATCAATAAGTAGTGTACCAAAACTCAGCAGAGAATTTAAAACCAACCCAAGGGCCTGATCTAGCAAACAAGTACAAAAGGGTTACTTACATCATGCTTGCCTAGTCAGGCCTCAAGGCTGTCTCTGTTTCTGCATCAAGTGATGTTGCTCTGCTCAACAGGTTTTTGCAGGGAAGGTGACAGAGTGGCAAAAGCCAAAGAATGGTAGTTCTCGAATAGGTCTCCTTCTCTTATGCAGTTTTACAGAAACTCGTATAACTTCACCCATTTGTAAAATTCAGCTCAGTACACTCGATGCTCTCTCATTAAAACCTTGAACAAACGTGTGCAGAGCATAGCCACATTGATGAACACTGGTTTTAGTCTTTAAAGTCAATGGCAGGGAACAAAAATACACTACCGTAGCTATACAATATGTTGTGTAGGTAGCGATGGCTCCTAAAATGCTGCACGTAGTGCTAGTCTTCTTTTGTAAGAGACAGTGGCAAGATTAGAAGACTACAGGGA